CCCCCTTGATGTCGGCATCTGTCACGTTGAAGTGAAGGTTTGAGATGAACCTGCAAGCACACGCGGGCAGGCGGCCGGAAGGAGCCGGGGAGGGGGCAGGCGGCGCACGGTCGCGGGGTGCTGCGCACGGAGGCGGCGGACGGCACAGGGGGCTGCCCGGCGCGTGCCCGGGAGCTTGGGCATGGCGTCTTGGGCGGAGAGGGCGCCTCAAGCTGCCGGCCCGGCCTGGCCCGCGCCACGCCGCCCGCAGAAGGTAGGCGGCGGCAGCGGTGTGAATGGCGGCAGAGGAGGGAGGCGCGGGGCCGGCAAGGAGCGGCGGGGGACGCCACTGGAGGCAGCGGTCGGTCCAGAGGCGCCCGGGGCCGCGCATGCAGCCCGCGCAGCATGCGCTGGCGGCGATTATGGCTCGTGCTGCTTTGCCTCCGACCGCCGCCGCCGGCTGGCCTCCAGCCGCGACGAGGAGGTGCGCGTGCGATGGGCTGGCCTCCGAGGGCCAGCACAGGCAGCAAGGGTGGGGCGGCCGGGGCGTGGCCGCGGCTGCGCCTGCCACTCACAGCTTGGTGCCGAGCGGGGTGGGGTCGCGGGGCCCGCGCCGGGCACCGCCGCCGCCGCCGCCGCCGCCCACCGGGCCGCGGTACATGTCGTGGCCCCACTTGGCGCCGCCCTCCAGTGCCGCCTCGCGGCGCTGAGGGTCCTCCCGCTCCCGCTCCTCACGCACGCCGCCGCCGGCGGACACCTGCAGCGGGGAGGGAGGGCGGGGGCCCGGGAGGCAGGCAGTGCGGGTCGGCCGGCGGAGGGAGTGACGCAGATCAGCTGGGAGGTTTGGCTTGGTGGCTGCTGGGCCGGCATACAAGAAGCTGAGGGGTCTCGGCAGGAGCTGCCCTGGCTGGCCGGAGCGGTGCCCAGGCGCTGCGACGCACCCGCTTGCCCACGCCGCCCTTGACTGTGATGGAGAGGTTGCGGGGCTCGCGGCGCGGGGGCGGCCCGCCGCCCGACACGCGCTTTGGCGCGCGGCTGCCGCCGGGGCCGGGGCGGTCGCCGCCGGGCTTGTTGCCGCGGCGCACCTCCTTCTTCTGCAGGGCGGGGCGTGCAGCAGGGGGAGGTTGTGGGTCTGGACAACGTGTGAAGGAGGAGAGGAGGGCGATGGAGCGGTGGCAGGTGGGACCACAAACGGGCCCAAGTGGGCGGCACCCCGCTGGCACCTGCGTCTTTGTATCCTTCTTCTGGCGCTGCTCCGCAATCAGGTCATCCAGGCTCTTGTTCAAGGCAGCCTCGGCGGCCATGGCTGCTGCTTTTGTCTAGGTCTTGCAAACAGAAGGAGACGTCCTGCAGAGAGTTGCAGCGGCGGAGTGGGTCAAGGGCGGGGGCGGCGGAAGGGGCGGCCAGGCTTCAACGGCCTGCCGCCGTGCCAATGAGCCCTGCTGGACCCCAATTGCCCAGGAAAAGCACGCAGGGCGCCGGAGCCACGGGCGATTGGGAGCCTCTGGGGCTGCACGCCTGATCCTCGCCCGCCCCGCCCCGCCGTAGGTCCACTGTCGGTGGCACCGACCAGCGGTGCTGTAGCGGGGCGGGCCCACGGGATGGCACGCGGAGCGCGAGGAATCGGACGCTAAGTCCCAGAGAACCAGGCAGCGACGCTGTGTCCCACCTTTCCGACCGAATGCTGGCTGGGAGGGCTTGAAGGAAGTGGGAGGGACAGCACTGTGGCCAGTTTTTGGCGAGCGCCACGTCAGCCCGAGTTGAACAGGCAAACGCCTCTGGGCAGCTGCAGAGCCCCTCTGATCGCCTGCACACTCTCCTGCGATAGGGGCGCACCTCCCTGAGACCTGCACACACGCAGCCCCCTTGCAGCCGATCGCAGCGGCGGACAGGCAGGGCACTCCGCTATGCAGAACGCCGCACGGGCAGCGCCCGGCAGCACGGCGCCCAAAGGATGCTACAAGTGTGGGCAGGCGGGGCACTGGTGAGCCAATTCCGCGCCGCCGCTGCCCGCCACCCCGGCCGCTCCCGACGACCCGCCGCCGCTCCACTGTCGTGTTCATCCGCTGACTGCTCCCTGGCCATGCTCCCCTGCAGGTCGCGCGACTGCACGGTGCCCCAGAGTCAGTGGCTGCCGCGCCAGCCGCCCCCGGGAGGCTGGCCTGCACGCACGCCAGCTGGCGGCGCGCCCGGCGCCACGCCCGCCGCGGGCGATGCTGCCGCCGGCGGGGAGCCCGACCCTTTCAAGTGAGTGCTGCCCACACCACCTGCACCAGCACCCACTTCCTGAAAGCCTCCCTTCGCTGACAGCGCATCCCGCTGCAGCAGTTGGCCAGACACCTGCCTGGCCTGCCGCCACCCCGTGCTGCAGCCTCGAGGGCGAGCAGGGGCCCCTGCAGACGGCGGCTGCGGCGCGCAAGGAGAAGCGCAAGCGGCCCAAGCTGACGCTGGAGCTGATGCAGGCGGGTGCTGGGGGGGGCTGTGCACGGTAGCAGCACTGCCGTGGTGCACCGGTGGATCTGCGGCGGTCGAGGGCCAGCGAGCAGAGCCTGGCGGTGTGTGGGACAGCACAGCCTAATGACGCTGCCGCAGGCAGTACTGGTGCGCGCCGTCAAACAGCGCCGCCAGCGTGGCCTGGTGCCCTGCAGGGCTCTAAGGGACTGCCTGACGTGATCACCAACTTCCCAGACGCCTTCCGGCGGCAGGTGGGCTGGCTGGGGCTCGGGCGCGGGCCCACGCCTGTGCGCTGTGCCCGCTTCAACCGTGTGCTGTGCATCGCCGGGCATTCTGTACCTCAGAGCCTCGCCGCGGCTATACCAGGGCCCTGTGCGTGTCACCCTGCCCTGCTGCGCAGTTCAAGGGCAAGGGGCATGAGGCCAGCGACCTACGGCGCCTGCTGGAGATGTACAAGCGCTGGCAGGTGCGGTACGATGTGGTTGAGGGGGCCGGGGTGTGGGGCAGGGTGGCACAGCCAGGGGGGCTGTCCCATCTCGGCCCCCACCGCGCTGAGCTGCATGCCGCCATATCTTTGCACCCTCCTGACGGTGCTGCACCACAAAGTATCTTGTACCGCATCAACTGTACCGCATCAACTTTGCCGCAGGACCGCGTCTTCCCCCACGGCGACTACGACGCCTTCATCTGCACCGTGGAGCGCCTGAGCGGCACCAACGCCCTCAAGAGCCACATGCACGACACGCGCATGCGCCTGCTCAAGGTGCGCACTGGGCGTGCGGCGGCGGCCGCCACACGGCACGCCCGTGCCTTGCCAGCTGCGGCGGCACGCTGCTGGGCTTGCTCGCCTGCGTTTGGACTGTCCCCTGGTGCGCGCCGGTCCGCGCACGCGCTGAGGTGGCATGGCCTTCTCCCTGCTGCTGGCGGCTTGCCTGCAGGAGGTGCAAGATATCGCCGACCCGCCGCATGTGCAGCTAGAAGAGGAGGAGGCGGGGCCTGGGGCAGGGGCGGGGGCAGCAGAGGCGGGTGCCGGCGCCGCCGCTGCGCGGGCGCTGGGAGAGGGCGATGAGTTGGACGATGATGTGGAGTATGAGCTGGTGCCGCAGCCAGAGGATGAGCACCCGGGTGCGCACGCGTGTGGGACAGCTGGCCTGGCCCGCGCCCAGCGTCGGTTGGCTGGCGTGGCGTGTGTCTGGCTGGTTGGCTGGCCCCCGTTCAGCGTGTGTTGGCTGTGGCAGGTGTGACAGGTCGCAGCACACACCCCTGCTCATCCCGTGCAGCATCCCTCCCGCGCCTGGCTGCCTTGCAGAGCTGGATGATGAGCTGCTGGAGCTGCTGGAGGATCCGGCTCCGGGTGGCGGGGTTGCGCCTGGGCCAGGCACAGCAGGCGGGGCAGGCGCAGCAGGCGCAGCGGTGGAGGAGGATGACGACGACGAGCTGCTGGAGCTGCTGGAGGATGATGAGCTGGAGGCGCAGCAGGCGCAGCAGGCGCAGCAGGCCCAGCAGGCCCAGCAGGTGGCGGTGGAGCAGGAGGCGGATGATGATGATGATGAGTTTTACGAGCTTGTGGACGACGATGAGGAGGAGGAGCAGGGGCAGGAGCCTGCGGCTGCGGCTGCGGCTGGTGTTGGTGCGGTGGGTGGCGCCGCGCAGGGCGAGCGCGCCGTGCTGAGCACCCAGGAGGAGGAGCAGCTCTTGGCCCTGCTGGAGGAAGGGGAGCAGGCGACGGCGGCAGCGGCGGCAGCAGCAGAGCCGGCAGCGGAGCCAGCAGCAGAAGCGATGGAGGTGGATGGCGGGCGGGCAGAGGAGGAGCAGGAGGAGCGGCAGCTGCTGGCGCTGGCAGCCGACAGCCGGCAGGCGCTCTCCCAGAGCTTGCTGCCGGGCAGCACCATCGCCGGCGGCGGCGGTAGCGGTGCCGGCGGCGCCTCGCTGGTGGCGGCCAGGCCCGGCGGGCTGAGCGCTACCGAGGAGGCTGAGTTGCTGGCTCTGCTGGAGGAGGAGGATGAGCAGGGCGCTGAGGTGGCGCCGCCAGCACAGCAGCTGGACGCCTCTGCCCAGCTGGCGCCTGTGCCCGACACGGCGGCAGACGCAGGGCTGGGCAGCGCCAGCCCACTGCAGACCACACAAGACCTGTGCTTGGTGCCAGACACGGCAGCCGAGGGCCTGCCGCCGGAGGCAGGCGAGAGCGGTGCGCCGGAGCCTTCCCAGGAGCTGTGCATGCTGCCGGAGACGGCGGCGGAAGACCTGCCACCAGAGGCAGGCGGGGGCAGGGCCGGCGAGCTGCAGGCCTCTGCAGAGCTGTGCATGGTGCCGGAGACGGCGGAGGAGGATTTGCCGCCGGCAGCAGGCGACCCCAGCCAGGAGCTGTAGTCAGGCTGTGGCTCGGCCCGGCCTGCGATGGCAGCTGCACAAACGCAGCTGGGCAGGCAGGCAGCCAGAGATTGCATTGCTAATTATTTCCTATGCAGGATGGATGCTTGCATGTGAATGGCACCCCACGGTGCAACAAAACATCAATACACAGGGCCGCCAGGGCACTTCGGCGGCGCAGGAATCCTGGGTTTGTGAACACCGCCCCCTCACTCCTCCTCAACTCCTCCTCGCTCCTCCACATCACTTGCTGGTGTAGTACGTGACCGTGCTGCAGCGCTCCACGATCCTATCCACCAGCTCCTGCTTTTCGTTGCAGTCTGCAAAGCCGATGCCTCGCTCCTCCAGCACCTGCTTCAGCTGCCGCACCTGTACATCGCAGGCAGGCAGTGCATGCTCGTCTATGGGCTCTATGGGCTAGGTGGGGAGAGGCAGGGAGAGGCAGGGAGGGGCATGGGGCGGTTGTGGGCTGGTCAGGGCGTGCCAAAGCAGCCGGGCGGAGCAGCCCGGCCCGCCGCCAAGACCGAGAGCCCCTGGCCTGAGCGGCTCACCGGCAGCGCCAGCAGCTCCTGCCGGCTGCTGGTGATGGGCGGCAGCTCGCGCTGCTGCTGGGGCGGTGCCGGCGCCGCTGCCGCCGCGCCGCCGCTGGCCGCAGGTTCCCTGCACACGCTCTCCAGCACCTGCGCAAACTTGGGCTCCATGGGGTGCCCGTGGTGCCGCACTACGCCGCCGGCATCTGCAGCAGGTCATGCAGCAGGATGGCAGTCGGATGTGGTAGGCATAGGAATGCACTTTCCTGGTACTTGGGCCGCCCGGAACATTAGGCAGCAAGGAGGGGAGCAGCTGGCGGGCAGCGGCGCAGCGGCCAGGGGGCGATACGGCAGATGCAGACCTATGATGAAGCCGTGCGGGATGCCGGCGACTTGCGCGGCGCCCATGAGCGCCTGCGCCGCCTGCCCGGTGGCATCCACCGCCACCCGGTAGTCCATCTTGTCTCCCTGCAGGCACCAGCTACCAGGGAAGTTGGGTGAGGATGGAGGGAGGAAGCATCACGGCAGCTGCGGCAGCTGCAGCCAGGAGGGCAGCCAGGGGACGCAAGGGCGGCGCTGGCCGGGGCGCCGGCGGCGAGCAGGCCGCCGAAGCGCCGCGGTCTGGGCCCTGAGACAGGCTGGCTGGATATCTCCTGTGCCTCCTTGCCTGCTGCGCCACAAACGCCCGTATCTGGGGGCTGTCCTCCTCCATGTTGACGCCCACCACCACCAGCCCGCTGCCGCGGAACTTGCGCGCCAGCTGGGACAGGTGAGGGAAGGCGGCGCGGCAGGGGCCGCACCACGTCGCCCAGAACTCAACCACCATGGGCCCCGACCTGGAGGGCACCGCCACAGGGTCGCCCTTGATGAAGGTCAGCCCGCCTGCAGGGCGGAAGGTGGGGCAGGCGGGCTGGGAGAGAGCGGGGAGGCGGCGGCGGCGCCAGCGGGTGGCGGCGCTCGGTCAAGGTGCCGGCGCCCCGCCACCGCGGCTATCGCTGCAAGATTTTGCGGCAGCGGGACATGGAACGCACTGAGTGTGGGGCACGGCTTCCCGATGAGCGCCATGTCGAGATGCCTGCTTGGGGGCACGCGAGTTTTGGGGCGCGCTGGTTGCCCAATGCGCTCTTAGGACTGTGCAGATTCTCAAACTGGACGTGCTGCGGGAGCTCCGCACGGGTTCAGGAGCGCGCCACCTGGCGCCTGAGCGCCGCCGGAAAGTCCCAGCTGCTTCTGCCGAGGGCTGCGCTGCATGCGCTGCTGGTCATCTTCTTCCCTGCATGCTCCTCTCCCCGCCTGAGCACTCTTCAGTTTGTCGGTTGGTTACAGCTGGGGGGCAAGAGGCCCGCGCCCCGGGACACGCTATGGCTCGAAACACAGGAAGGCAGGCACAGGCGAGCCGACCCACTGAGGAACCCCGAGGCGTGTAGTACCGTCTCCTGCGCCTGCTGCTGTGCTGCACAAAGGTGGTGCTGCGGAACGCTGACCTGATAACTCCATGAAAGAGAAAGAGGGGCTGCTGAGGTGGCTCTCCAGTGGTGCACCTGGCTGCTGCTGCTGCTGCTGCTGCTGCTGCCGGCGGCAGGGCTGGCACGGAGGCCCCGGGCCGGCGCCGCCGCCGTGCGTCAGGCGCCTCACTTGGAGGTGGTCTTCACCACCTTGCCAAGCATGACGGCGGTGTTGCCGTCCAGGAAGGCGATGCGGGACAGGCCCTCGCAGTTCTTGAAGCTGTCCACCACCAGCGGCTGGCAGGGCTCAAACACAACCTCCGCCATCTCGTTGGCCTTGAGGCTGTGGGGGGCCTCCAGCTTCTTGCCGCCAGTCTCCTTGCCCACCTGCAGGGAAGCCAGGAGAGCGGGGCCAGGCAGGGTGAGGAGAGAGATGCGGCAGCAGCAGGCAGGCTGCTACAAAAGATGCAGCAGCACAGCTTCTGACAAGCGTGCATCTCCTGCACACAGCTAGGCAGCTGCCAGAGGCGCAGCCTCCCCTACGCACCTTCCAGTTGATGCCGGTGATGCGGCACGCGGAGCGGCCGCAGCGCACAAAGCCGATGGGGGAGTAGCCGGCCTTGACCTCGCCGGGGATGTCCAGGGTCTGGATCTGGGCGGTGAAGTCCTTGACCTGCTTCAGGGTGGCGTCGCTCTTCAGGATCATCACGTCGCCGGTGCGGGGCATGTTGCCCTTGTCCAGGCCCTTGATGTTCATGCCCACGTTGTCGCCGGGGCCGGCCTTGTCCACGCGCTTGTGGTGCATCTCCACGGTGAACACCTGGGCAGGGGAGGGGAGGGCGGCGCAGGGGTGGAGCAGGGTGAGCCTTGGGTTGGACAGCACAGCTGCATGCTGCTGGCGGCTGCATCAAGACTATACACAGCTAGCTGGCGGCTGCAGCGAGCCGCGCCCCAGCAGCAGCCGTTCCTGACAGCAGCAGCCGTGTCTGGCGGCCGCAAGCTGCATCGCAGCCGCCGCATCCTCCCTGCTCCTCTCCACCCAACCCCGCCACCACCCAGCAGCCCAGGAGCCTCACCTTGCCCTCGCACTTGTTGGCGGCGGTGTGGGTGGGCATGAAGATGACCTCATCGCCGGGCTTGACAATGCCCTGCTCCACGCGGCCCGCCAGCACATCACCCACACCCTTGATCTTGTAGATGCCGGAGATGGGCAGGCGCAGGGCGGCGTCCAGCTTGCGCTCGGGCACCTGCGGGGCAGGGAGAGGCGGCAGCAGCGTGAGTGAGCGAGGCTGGGCAAGGCACGACATGTGTGCGCTGCATGCCTCCCGGCTGGCATGCCACCCTGGCCAGCCAGCCTCCCCTGCCCACCTGCACGAAGCCGTTGAGGGCGTCCAGCAGGGTCTCGATGTGGATCTTGGCGCCGTCCACGGCCAGGGCGTCGCAGCCAGACCACCAGGTCATGTTGGTGGACTTCTTGATCAGGTTGTCGCCCATCCAGCCGGAGATGGGCAGGATGGGGACGCTCTTCTCGACAAAGTCGGGCTTCCAGCCCACGCGCACAAGCATGTGCTTCATCTCAGCCGCAATCTCGTTGTAGCGCTCCTGCAGGCAGGCGGGCGAGGCAGGGCGGGCGTGTGAGACATGCAGCCAACCCGCGCAGCGTCAGCAGCATGCCAGGGTGTCGAGTTGCGGGCAGCTCTGCTCCTCCGTGCAAGCTTGAGGCTTCCCGACCGCTGCTTTGCTCTCTCTTTCACCGGCTGGCGTGCGCCTCACACTCCCCGCTGCCATCCCACTCCCGCCGCCGGTGCCCCTCCCTGCCCCCGCACCTGCTTGTAGCCGGCGGTGTCCGAGTCCATCTTGTTGATGCCCACAATCAGCTGCTTGACGCCCAGCAGGTTGAGCAGGCGCGCGTGCTGGCGGGTCTGCCCCTGGATCTCGCCCGCCTTGTGGTCGCCCTTCTGGATGGCGGTGGTGAAGTTACCGTCGGCGGGGACCATCAGCAGGCACACGTCGGCCTGGGCGGCACCGGAAATCATGTTCTTGATGAAATCGCGATGGCCTGCGGGGCGGCGGGCAGGGTGGGGATGGGGGGGCAGGGAGGCCGGGTGAGCATGCCTGGCAGAGCCGACTGGGGTCTCGTGCGTTCTGTTTGCAGGGCGTTCCCCGTTTCCACTGCACTCCCAGCCTGCCTGCCTGCTGCTGCTGTGCCTTGGTGCTCCCCAACACCAGCCCCAGGCAGCAGCCCCAGGCAGCGGCGCTCACCCGGGGCGTCGATGATGGTGTAGTGGAATTTCTCCGTGAAGAACTCCTTGGTGGTGCAGGAGATGGTGACACCACGCTCGCGCTCCTCCTTCTGGCGATCCATGTAGAAGGCAAAGGCGAAGGAAGACTTGCCCAGGGCAGCGGCCTCCTCCTGCAGGGCGGCGGCGGGTGGGAGCGGCAGCGGCGACGGGTCAGCCCCCATGGCTAAAGCGCCAAATATGGCGCTCCTGCCCCGCCGACGGCCCCCAGTCCGCCAGGGAGCCCCGTCTGGCCCTGCCCAGAGAGTGGCTGCTGGAGGCATCCACTCCTGCCCCGCTGCCCGCTGATCGCCGCTGCGGCCCCCTGCTGCGGACCTTCAGCTTCTCCAGCTCACGCTCGGGGATACCACCCAGCTCGAAGAGCAGGCGACCGGTGGTGGTGGACTTGCCAGAGTCCACATGGCCGCAGATGACAATAGACAGGTGCCTGCGCAATTGCACGGGGTCCAGGCGTCAGGGCGGGGACCAATGGGGCCGCCACGGCCCCGGTGCGCCCCTGCATGCTCCATGAGAGCTCCCACGCTGCGCCGCCATCAACACTCACTGCTTGCCCTCAGCCATTGTGTCCTGTCTGTCGCTCAGCTGTGCCACCAACCGAGTAAAGAGGGCGAGCGGGGCGGGGAGGCGGAGTGTGACACCAGCGCGCCTTCCTCTGAGGACCCCGGAAGGAGCCAGCAGGCGGCAGGGCCCTGGGTGGCCCGATGCGGGCAACTGAGACGCTCTGCAGGTGCACCTGCACGAGCAGGGCGCGGGCAGGGGCCGCCCGCCCTGCACCAGCCCGCTCCCGCCCGCCTGCCGCTGCTGCCGCCGCCTGCTGCAGGGAGCCTCGCCTGCAGCACGCTGCAGCGAGGAGCTGTCATGCAGCACTGCCTGCTGGATGGGTCCGGCCGAGGCTTCGACTGCAAGGATGCGGGTGGCTGCGCATGCTGGCGGTAGCGAGCCGCCGCCGGTGCCTTGCACGCGACCCAGTGCGCCAGCGGCCGCTCGACCAACTTGAAAAGTCGGCGGGCACAAGAGTGCGGGCTCTAGTGATGCACAGCCTCTCTCAGGCACACTTGCATGTCGATTGGTTACAAAGCGAGTAGGGTACAGGTGGGGGCTTGCGGCTAGATGTGAGGAGCTGGGGCGGAGGAGTTGGGAGCCGAGGCCAGGTCGCACATACTATCGAACAGAACAGAAGGCTAAGCAGGTAGTCAGAGTCAGCAGGGAGACGTGCGTGCCAGCTTACCGCCTTCCTGACTGCGTACAAACACAACAGACAATGGGGAAAGGTATCAAAGTGCAAGACACGTAGCAACATGGCCAGGCCAGGCCCAGAACATAGAACAAAACTGTAGGGGGAGCAATGAGCAACTTGAAAACGAACAAGAAGAGGAGCAGGGGCAGCAGCGGGGCGTCAGCCGCCACGGCCGCCTTGCTCCCACAGCTGCTGCATAGCCTGCAGCTGCTGCGCGGCTCCTGCCGCAGCGGCGCCACCACCCGCCGCCGCTGCGGCGCCGCCGGAGGCGTCGCCCAGCGTCTGCTGCCGCAGCCACTGCTGCGTCAGCACAAACTCGCGGAGGTTGTCCAGCTCGCGCTGAGTGGGGTGGTTGTCCTCATCTACGCCGCTGCCTGCGCCGGCGGTGCGGCTGCCACTGCCTGCCGGCGCCTTGCTGCTGCTGGGGCCCCCATCCTCAGCACTGCACAGGCCAGGCCAGCGCAGCGAAGCGGTAACGAGCTGCGGCGATGACGCACGGCACATGTAAAGGTGGGAGCAGCACGCGGGGTCCGCCCCTGCACAGCCCATCCCCACTCACAGCTGCGAGCGGTCGTGTGCGATGATGCGCAGGCGGCCCTCCTTGGTGCCGTACGCGATGCCGCCGCCGGCGCGCGGGTGGAAGCACGCGGCGTTGATCTCGTCGTCGGCAGACGGCAGCACCCGCACCAGCGCCATGTCGCGCAGCCTGCAGCACGGGTGTAGGGTCATTGGTGCATGTGCGGTATGGGAGAAGCAAGGGAATCAGCCGCGGCTTTGCGACGGGATGCACCACACAACTGGCGCCCATGGCAAGCCCAGCTGCCTGCGCGCCCCAGCCGAGCCCCCACCTGAACACCTCCAGTATGGTGTGCAGCGGCACCACCGAGCCGCGGTCGGCCACCAGCGAGCGCAGCAGGCTGATGTGCTTCTTGCCGTAGGCCAGCAGCATGTGGCCGCAGCAGGGCGAGAACTGCACGCTGGTCAGGCAGTGCGCGGCGCGGATGCTGCGGCGCGGCAGGGTGGGGAGCAGCAGGCACGCGCCGTGAGGCGCAGCGAGGTGCGAGGTGCGAGGGAGCGCGAGTCCAGCCCAACACACAGCAGGCGACATGGCAGCCTGCTGCACGGCGCCCCTGCAGGCCTCCAGCCTCCACCCAGCCGCTCACCGCTTGGCGCGCACCACCTGCCCAAAGTTGGGCCCATCCAGGCTGTACACGCGGACCTCAAACACGACGCGCTCGGGGCGCGGCTGCGCCGCAGCCGCCGCGGCGGCCGCCTCCACCGCCGCGGCTGCAGCCCCCGCCGCGGCGCCGTGGGGCCGGTGAGGAGGCGTTGTGAACATGTCGCTGGCGGCGCCAGAGGACCGCATCGCGGCGGGCCTCAGGCCAGCGGCATCCGGGATGCCCGGCCCCAGATGGGCGTGCCGCGACAGCAGCGCCTCTGCGCGAGCCGTGTTGCCGCCCAGGGCGGCAGCCAGCGCGGCGTCAATCTCCTGCTGCGAGGGCGCGCCGCCCTCCTCCTCCCCGAGAATCGTGCCCGCACCAACGGCCGCCGGCAGCGGGCCGCGGCAGGCGGTGGTGCCCGCCAGGAAGCGGCCGCAGGGGCTGAAGTGCACGCCCATCTCTGCACAGGCTCACAGCCAGGCAAGGCAGGGGGCGGGGTGTCAACAAAGGGCCTCAACTTTCCCGACCTGTTCGCTCCGAACCTAGCACGCTTCCTCATGCACCTCGGAACAGCTGCACGCCCTGCCTTCCCCGGCTGCCGCACCTGAGCACAGCACTGCGTCCGAGATCTGCAGCCGGAGGTTGCCGCTGTTCTGCTCCGCGCCCATCACAGCCAGCAGCCCGGTGGGCTTGTTCACATCGAACCTGCGCGCAGCAGGCGAGGCAAGGCAGGCGCCCGTGCATGGTTCAGCTGCGCATAGGTACCGCCTCGCACACAGCACGCAAGTAAGGAGGGCGTGAGCACCCCTCAGTCACGCAAGCCCCACGGCTCAGCACAGGCCCGCACCTCCAGATGCGCAGCCGCACACGCGGCGGCTGCTCCTCCCCAATGATGTTCCAGGCGGCGGCGCTGAACGCAGCCATGACCTGCGGCAGGCTGGCTGCGGTGGCCGCCCAGCCGCCGCCGCCGTCGCTGCCGGCCTGCCCCGGCCCGGCCGCAGTCGGCTGCCCGCCCGCGAACAAATTCGAGGGGAAGGGAAGCTCCCAGCCGGTGGGCACCATGCTTGGCGGCAGCTGGCCAGAGCCAGGAGGCACCCAGCCAGGCGCTCCGGGGCGGCCGGAGGTGGCGGCGGCGGCACCCTGCTGCTGCCGGTCGCCGCCCGCGCCGCGAGGCCCTGCTGCTGCTGCTGCATCTGCCTGCTGCGGCGGTGGGCTGGCCGCGCCAGACCGCAGGTGCAGGTGGTGCAGCGGGCCGCTCAGCGCCAGCGCCGCCGCCGGCAGATCCGGGATCCGCAAGGGCTGGTTGGGCTGGATGGCTGCCGCTGCGGACGCCGCAAACTGGCCCACGGGCACAGGCCCGGCGGCGGTCGCCACATACACGCCCGCCGCAGAGGGGTGCGCCCGCGGCAGCGTGGTGGCTGCGACGCCCCCCAGCAGCTGCGGCGAGGGGATAGGCACCTCGCCCGAGCCTGGGGGCGTCATGGCCTCCGCCGATGCTGCCGCTGCCGCCGCCGCAGGCTCGGCCTCCATAGGCGCCGCGCCGGCTGCCGCCTCCTCCTCCACCTCCTCCTGCATGTACGGCCCGCTCTCGGTGAGCGTGGCGGGCAGCTCTGGCGTGGGAGAGGGGTCCTGAACCTCGGCCGTCAGCACAATGGGCAGGCCCTGGGGGTGGAAGTGCACCGCTCGCATCGACCGCCGCGTCTTGAGCACTGCGGCGGGCAAGCCAGCGGGCAGGCGAGGGAGTGCTCGTCTCAGCGAAGCGGCCAGCCGCTTTCGGCAGGGACAGACAACGGCCTGCCATGCCTTTGCCCTTGGTGCAGCTTTAATGCCTCATGTGCCTCATCTGCAGACACCGAGGGCAGCACCAGCCGGCGCCGCCAACCCACCGATGACGGGCAGCTTGCCCTGCGCCGCGTACTCCCACATGTACAGCTTGTGCCCGCAGCCGATGGCCAGCACATCGGCGCTGACGTGGAAGGCCAGCGAGGCGATGGGCTTGCCTGCGAGCGCGGCAGAGGCAGGCCAGCATGCAGGGTTGACTGCCTGCTGCGGCAGCGACGAGGGCAGGCACCGGCAAGCACGGCAGCAGCAGCCTGCAGCCGGGACGCGGCGCAGCCGGCCACTCGCCGTGGCATGTGGCCCTGCCGCCAGGTGCTCACCAAACGTGTGCCGCGCAATGCACTGCCCCGTGTCTGCGTCCCACAGCCGCACTTCGTGGTCGAGCGACCCCGAGGCCAGCAGGTTTGGCTTGCGGGGGTGGAAGCGCACCACCCAGGGCGTGCGGCGGTGCCCTGACAGCACGCGCACCAGCTTGCCGCTGGAGCAGGAGCTCAGCTTGACGGTGTGGTCACCACTGCAGCAGGTGGGCAAAGGCGGAGGTGAGCCGCTGGATCAGTACAAAGCAGGTGCAGGGCGGACAGGCTCAGCATGGAGCACCCCCACGTGCAGTAGTATCGCTAGCCCCCGCGGCTGTACTGCTACACTTCCCAGCAGCAAGCAGCAGCAGAGAGCAATGCGCGGCTGGGGGCGGGTGTGCAGCAGGCGCAGCTACCAGCCCACTCACTGCGTGGATGCCAGCAGCGTGCCGTCGCAGTTGTATGAGAGCGCTATGGTGGAGCGGGGCGGTGGCTGGAAGGAGGCATAGCTGGCGCTGCAGTGGGCCGTCAGACTGGCCTCTGCCCAGCGCTGCAGCCGCGCGCCGGTGGGTGTGCCGTCGGCCGGCGTGCAGCGCGGCGCCCCGCCCACCTCCCGCGCCAGCAGCAGCAGGGCCGCGTTGGGCATGGCGCCCGCGAGCCCCCTGGCTGGCCTGCGCCCAGGCTGGTGCCGCTGAGCCTCGGTGGACCGCGGGGCGTCTCACTGTGTGTGTGGCCCGGCGCGCTCAGTAGCCTTGGGCCTCGCCGGCCCTCCACAGGAAGGGCGTGGGTCTATATGCCCCGAAAGCGAAGCACCAAGGGTCACAGGCGCGCGGGGTGCAATGGAGACCGCACCCCTGCGCGGTGCGGCACCGGTCGAGTAGGAACAGGCCTGTGCAGAGTTACAATCGATGCTCTGTTCTCGGGAAGCCCCGGGTGGATCGGGGGCGCCCGAAACTCCCTCCATGTGCCTGCTGCTGTGCCTCAGCACGACTGCCAGGTGTGCCTCGCTGAGTCCTACCAAAAGGCCACACCGCGGTCCCTCCCCGCTTCACTGATCACTCTGATCGACACCTAGCTACTTCAGGCCTGCAGTGCCTCCCCTCTAGCTACACACCAAACCAACTCCGCACGCGGCGGCCTCCCGCTACCCCTCCCCCGCTCCCAGTGGCCCATCCGGGCGTGTCCAGACATCCCCAGGTCACTCCCAGGCCCCCAGAATGCTGGACCACGTCTGCATCTTCACAAAGGGCGGCTCCCTGCTCTGGGTGCTGTCCTTTGTGGGCCTCAAGGGCGACCCTATCAACACCCTAATCCGGGCCTGCCTCCTGGAGGAGCGCGCGGGGCAGAGCAGCTTCGAATACATCATCCCCAGCGGCGGCACCTATGCGCTCAAGTGGTCACTAAACAACGTGCGCCTGGCAGCCTCGGCTGACTGCCTGGATGTGGATCTGCGGCGGCACTGTGCATGGGGTGCCAGAGGGCCTGTGGGATCCTCGCGCTGGCGACGACTCCACCCCCGCCGTGCCGCCCGGCTCACCTGCCGTCAGCCTGCCCACACCGCCTTGCCCTGTGCGCGTCTCGCCTGCAGGGGCTGGGCCTCGTGTTTGTGGCAGTCTACCAGAAGGCGCTGAAGCTGCTGTACGTGGATGAGCTGCTGGAGCGCATGAACCGCGCGTTTGCGCCCCGCTACAAGCCCGGCTGCTTCGAGTATCCCGATTTTGACGCCACCTTCCAGGTGGGTTTGAATTGGCTGCCTGTGCGGCCCGCCTTGGTGGGTTTGGAAAAGGCAGCGGGATCCGTCTGGGTGTGCTGCAGCATTGGGGAGCAGGGGGGAGGACAGGTGGATAGGGTGCAGCAATGAGCAGACCGGCGTCAGAGGAAGATTGCAGGGTGCAGGGAGGGAGGTCGGAGCGAGGGGCCTGCCGACTGGTAAATGTCCCAACTGGCGACGCACCCCCCCATTGCCCTGCGTTGCTGCTCTGCTGCAGCGCCTGCTCAAGGACTGCGAGGAGAAAGCCGAGGCGGCGCGGCGCCCCAGCACGCAGCAGCTGGCGCCGGCGCAGGTGGGCGCCGCCGCGGGGCAGCAGCGCCGCGCCTCGGGCGCCAAGACTGGCGGCAGCAGCCAGGAGGGGGACAGCGACGGCACCGCGGATGGCGGCGAGGCGGCTGCCGCTGCCGCCGCCCCGGCCTCTGGCTCAGACGCAGGCCCGGCAGGCGACTCGGCCGGCCAGAGCAGCGATGATGCCGAGGGCGAGGATGGGGCCGCCAATGGCGCTGCCTCTGAGTTTGTGCCCAACCTGGACAAGCTGAAGAAGCTGGGCAAGCGGGCGGGGCCCGGCGGCAAGGTGACGCGCCACCACGCCGACCGCGTGGAGGAGCCCAAGAAGAAAGCGCCGGCGGGCAAGAAGGGCAAGCAGGCGCGCGTGTGGGGCGACGCCGCCAACGGCAAGGGTGAGCGGGGCTGCTGCTGCGCCGCGTGCGGGTTGCGTGGCCTGCCTGTCCGGCCACTGTGACGCCGCCCAGCGCGCCTGCTGCTCTGCGCGTGCGCCGCTCGGCGTGACAATGCCCTGGATTCGGGTGCCCTTCCAGCACACCGCGATGCATAGGCCTTGCGCCGTGCGGCTTACACCGCGCCACCTGATCCCTACCTGCCCCTGATCTGATCCTGCCTGCCCCCTGCAGAGGAGGGGCCCCTGGACTTCACAGAGGGCGAGCCGGGTGAGGCGCAGGAGGTGGCGGCTGACCTCAACCAGCGCAGCCTGATTGATGTGGAGGAGGAGGTGACGTATGATGAGCTGGAGGAGGAGGTGAGGGGCGGGGCGCCTGGGTGAGGGGCAGGCTGACGGCGTGACTGTGCTGTCTGTCCTGAACAGTGTTGGCTGCTGCCCGGCTGTCTGCCTGATCGGCGGATCGGCATGCTGACTGGCACTGCAGGAGGAGGCTGCGGCGGCTGGCGCCCCCAAGAAGGGCGGCCTGCTGTCGTCCTTTGTGCGCACGATCGGGGTGAACGTGGTGGGGACACAGGTGCGTGCGGGAAGGCGCTGTGGAGTGCTGGACCCAATGATTGCTGCAGTGGCGGCGGCCTGCCTGCTCTCTGTTCGTTGTGCAGCCTGCCCACCCGCCCTGCTCCTCCCGCACCTGCATGGGCTGAGGGTGCCAAGTGCTCATGCTCTGCAGGCGCTGACGCGGACCGACATTGAGCCTGCGCTGGCCACGCTCAAGAAGAAGCTGATGGAGCGGAATGTGGCAGAGGAGATTGCCGACAAGTAAGGCTGCTGAGCTGGCGGTGCTGAGCTGGCGCCTCTCTGAACATGGCTGCCCACAGCTCCAAGCGCAGCCTGTGTAACTGGCCACTTGCGTGTCGCTGCGCAGGGTGACGGAAAGCGTGGCTACGAGCCTGGAGGGGCGCAAGCTGGCCTCCTTCACCCGCGTCAGCACCGCGGTGCAGCAGGCGGTGGAGGAGGCGCTGACGCGCATCCTCACCCCCAAGCGCTCCATCGACGTGCTGCGCGAGGTCAAGGCGGTGCAGGTGGGCCGGGGTGGTGGAGCATCAGGGAGTGAGAAGGGAGTGCGTTGGCAAGCTGGCGCACCTGTCATCTCCCATTCACCTTTTAAGTAAACGGTGCGCGCTCCCTGCTGTGCGCCTGCAGGCCAAGGGCCAGCCCTACACAATTGTGTTTGTGGGGGTCAACGGCGTGGGCAAGTCCACCAACCTGGCCAAGGTGCGCGGCCCCGGGGCTGCCCTCCACCTGCCGCGGCAGCGCTGCCGTTGCCCTTGCTGGCCTTGGCTGCGGCGAGGCTCCCTGGCCAGCCCTCTGCGTCGTTCCGCCCGCCCTCATGCAGTGCTCCCCTGCGGCGCTCTCCTCGCCCCTGCCTGCAGGTGGCCTACTGGCTGCTGCAGAACGGCGTCAAGGTCATGATTGCCGCCTGCGACACCTTCCGCAGCGGCGCGGTGGAGCAGCTGAAGACGCACTGCGCGCGGCTGCAGGTGGGTGGGAGGGTGCTGAGGCTGCATGCATCGCGTGTGCGTGTACGTGTGGGCGCTGGGGAGCACGGCAGCCACCAGGAGGCCATAGGCGGCAGATGCAGCTGCCGCTTAGCGATGGCGCACTTAGCTGCCTCGCCGTGAGTCGCCTGACGTGGCTGCCCCGCTTGCGCTGGCGTGGCTGCACCGCCTGCGCAGGTGCCGCTGTACGAGCGTGGGTACGAGAAGGACCCCGCCAAGGTGGCGTTTGAGGCGGCCAAGGCAGCGCAGCGCTCGGGCATCGACGTGCTGCTGGTTGACACCGCGGGGCGCATGCAGGTGCATGGGGGTGCGGGGCAGGGGTGGGAGCAGGGACGAGGTGCACGGAGCAAGGGCGGCAGCACTGTGCACTGCAGAGGAGCGCCCCGGTCTGGCAGGCGCATGGGCGCCCCGGCCTCCGCCTCACGCATTTGCGCTGCAGCGCTGGCACGTCTCGACGGCCCGGCCTCCCCTGCCTTGCCTGCCTTGCCCGCAGGACAACGAGCCGCTGATGCGCGCCCTGTCCAACCTCATCAACCTTAACCAGCCAGACCTGGTCCTGTTTGTGGGCGAGGCCCTGGTGGGCAACGACGCAGGTGCGGGGCCCGGCTGGTGGCGGTGGATGTGGCCCATGCACCTGGCCGGTTCAACCAAAGCAACGCGTGCCGCCCATTGCTTCGCCTCTGCTGCGCCCCGTACCCAACCTGTTCTGCTCCCTCGCCCTCTCGTCCCGCAGTGGACCAGCTGACCAAGTTCAACCAGCGCCTGGCCGACCTGTGCCCCGACCCCACCCAGCGCCACCTCATCGACGGCATCGTGCTCACCAAGTTTGACACCATCGACGACAAGGTGGGGCGGGCGTGGCATGCCGGGGAGGGGCTGGCTCAGGCGGGCGGGGGAGGATGTCGTTGCTGTCGGGGCAGGCTGACGAGCGCAACCTGGGCTGGCATGGCCCCTGCTCTTCCTGCTCTCACCACATGCGGCCCCACCCTCTTTCGCCCCTGCAGGTGGGCGCCGCCCTGTCCATGGTATACACCTCGGGTGCGCCCATCATGTTTGTGGGGTGCGGCCAGACGTATGTGGACCTGAAGAAGCTGCACGTGAAGAGCGTGGTCAAGAGCCTGCTCAAGTAAGGGCCCGCCACGGGGCCTGAGCTTGCGGGAGCTGCTAGGCTTGAACCGGCACCGTCGCCTCGATTGCATGAGCGAAATCAAACTGCTACCGACCTCAGGAATGTAACACACTCGTGTGATGTGGACTTGACTAGGGGGCAGCGGAGCAAGTTTAAATTGGGGTTCGGTTTTGGTGGTTGAGCGGGGCCGCTGGCGCGGCGGATCCCGTGCAAGGCACCGGCGGCGGCTCGCTACTGGCAGCGCGCACAGCCACCCGCATCCTTGCAGTCGAAGCCTCGGCCGGACCCATCCAGCAGGCAGTGCTGCATGACAGCTCCTCGCTGCAGCGTGCTGCAGGCGAGGCTCCCTGCAGCAGGCGGCGGCAGCAGCGGCAGGCGGGCGGGAGCGGGCTGGTGCAGGGCGGGCGGCCCCTGCCCGCGCCCTGCTCGTGCAGGTGCACCTGCAGAGCGTCTCAGTTGCCCGCATCGGGCCACCCAGGGCCCTGCCGCCTGCTGGCTCCTTCCGGGGTCCTCAGAGGAAGGCGCGCTGGTGTCACACTCCGCCTCCCCGCCCCGCTCGCCCTCTTTACTCGGTTGGTGGCACAGCTGAGCGACAGACAGGACACAATGGCTGAGGGCAAGCAGTGAGTGTTGATGGCGGCGCAGCGTGGGAGCTCTCATGGAGCATGCAGGGGCGTACCGGGGCCGTGGCGGCCCCATTGGTCCCCGCCCTGACGCCTGGACCCCGTGCAATTGCGCAGGCACCTGTCTATTGTCATCTGCGGCCATGTGGACTCTGGCAAGTCCACCACCACCGGTCGCCTGCTCTTCGAGCTGGGTGGTATCCCCGAGCGTGAGCTGGAGAAGCTGAAGGTCCGCAGCAGGGGGCCGCAGCGGCGATCAGCGGGCAGCGGGGCAGGAGTGGATGCCTCCAGCAGCCACTCTCTGGGCAGGGCCAGACGGGGCTCCCTGGCGGACTGGGGGCCGTCGGCGAGGCAGGAGCGCCATATTTGGCGCTTTAGCCATGGGGGCTGACCCGTCGCCGCTGCCGCTCCCACCCGCCGCCGCCCTGCAGGAGGAGGCCGCTGCCCTGGGCAAGTCTTCCTTCGCCTTTGCCTTCTACATGGATCGCCAGAAGGAGGAGCGCGAGCGTGGTGTCACCATCTCCTGCACCACCAAGGAGTTCTTCACGGAGAAGTTCCACTACACCATCATCGACGCCCCGGGTGAGCGCTGCTGCCTGGGGCTGGTGTTGGGGAGCATCAGGGCAGAGCAGCAGCAGGCAGGCAGGCTGGGAGTGCAGTGGAAACGGGGAATGCCCTGCAAACAGAACGCACGAGACCCCAATCAGCTCTGCCAGGCATGCTCACCCGGCCTCCCTGCCCCACCCGTGCCCGCCGCCCCGCAGGCCATCGCGATTTCATCAAGAACATGATTTCCGGTGCCGCCCAGGCCGACGTGTGCCTGCTGATGGTCCCCGCCGACGGCAACTTCACCACCGCCATCCAGAAGGGCGACCACAAGGCGGGCGAGATCCAGGGGCAGACCCGCCAGCACGCGCGCCTGCTCAACCTGCTGGGCGTCAAGCAGCTGATTGTGGGCATCAACAAGATGGACTCGGACACCGCCGGCTACAAGCAGGTGCAGAGGCAGGGAGGGGCACCGGCGGCGGGAGTGGGTTGGCAGCGGGGAGTGTGAGGCGCACGCCAGCCGGTGAAAGAGAGAGCAAAGCAGCGGTCGGGAAGCCTCAAGCTTGCACGGAGGAGCAGAGCTGCCCGCAACTCGACACCCTGGCATGCTGCTGCCGCTGCGCGGGTTGGCTGCATGTCTCAACCCTGCTGCCCGCCCTGCCTCGCCCGCCTGCCTGCAGGAGCGCTACAACGAGATTGCGGCTGAGATGAAGCACATGCTTGTGCGCGTGGGCTGGAAGCCCGACTTTGTCGAGAAGAGCGTCCCCATCCTGCCCATCTCCGGCTGGATGGGCGACAACCTGATCAAGAAGTCCACCAACATGACCTGGTGGTCTGGCTGCGACGCCCTGGCCGTGGACGGCGCCAAGATCCACATCGAGACCCTGCTGGACGCCCTCAACGGCTTCGTGCAGGTGGGCAGGGGAGGCTGGCTGGCCAGGGTGGCATGCCAGCCGGGAGGCATGCAGCGCACACATGTCGTGCCTTGCCCAGCCTCGCTCACTCACGCTGCTGCCGCCTCTCCCTGCCCCGCAGGTGCCCGAGCGCAAGCTGGACGCCGCCCTGCGCCTGCCCATCTCCGGCATCTACAAGATCAAGGGTGTGGGTGATGTGCTGGCGGGCCGCGTGGAGCAGGGCATTGTCAAGCCCGGCGATGAGGTCATCTTCATGCCCACTCACACCGCCGCCAACAAGTGCGAGGGCAAGGTGAGGCTCCTGGGCTGCTGGGTGGTGGCGGGGTTGGGTGGAGAGGAGCAGGGAGGATGCGGCGGCAGGGAGGATGCGGCGGCTGCGATGCAGCTTGCGGCCGCCAGACACGGCTGCTGCTGTCAGGAACGGCTGCTGCTGGGGCGCGGCTCGCTGCAGCCGCCAGCTAGCTGTGTATAGTCTTGATGCAGCCGCCAGCAGCATGCAGCTGTGCTGTCCAACCCAAGGCTCACCCTGCTCCACCCCTGCGCCGCCCTCCCCTCCCCTGCCCAGGTGTTCACCGTGGAGATGCACCACAAGCGCGTGGACAAGGCCGGCCCCGGCGACAACGTGGGCATGAACATCAAGGGCCTGGACAAGGGCAACATGCCCCGCACCGGCGACGTGATGATCCTGAAGAGCGACGCCACCCTGAAGCAGGTCAAGGACTTCACCGCCCAGATCCAGACCCTGGACATCCCCGGCGAGGTCAAGGCCGGCTACTCCCCCATCGGCTTTGTGCGCTGCGGCCGCTCCGCGTGCCGCATCACCGGCATCAACTGGAAGGTGCGTAGGGGAGGCTGCGCCTCTGGCAGCTGCCTAGCTGTGTGCAGGAGATGCACGCTTGTCAGAAGCTGTGCTGCTGCATCTTTTGTAGCAGCCTGCCTGCTGCTGCCGCATCCCTCTCCTCACCCTGCCTGGCCCCGCTCTCCTGGCTTCCCTGCAGGTGGGCAAGGAGACTGGCGGCAAGAAGCTGGAGGCCCCCCACAGCCTCAAGGCCAACGAGATGGCGGAGGTTGTGTTTGAGCCCTGCCAGCCGCTGGTGGTGGACAGCTTCAAGAACTGCGAGGGCCTGTCCCGCATCGCCTTCCTGGACGGCAACACCGCCGTCATGCTTGGCAAGGTGGTGAAGACCACCTCCAAGTGAGGCGCCTGACGCACGGCGGCGGCTCACAGCCCGGCCGCCAGCAGCAGCAGCGCCCCGCAGCCCCACCGGGCAGCAGGGCAACCAGAAGGGAGCGGCGGCTCGCGCCCTCCCCACCTTGCGGCGGCAGTCTGAGACGAACAACGCAGCTTTTTTTGACTGATTGCAGCTTGCAATTGCTTGTCGGCTCCTCCCTTCTGTAACCGTTTCGCGCGACTGGCACATAATGTTTTGAATGGGCTGAGGGCACCGGTACAGCACGAGCAGCAGCAGCAGGTTGAAAGCAACAGGGAGCAGAACAGAGGAGGGGACAGGTAGTGCACAAGACGAGGCAGCAGAAACAGGTGTGGAACCAGGGGTAATGAGAATGAAAAGATGGAATTCGGGGCTCGATGCAGCGGCACCCGCCGATGGAACTAGGCTCCCGCCTGGCTGGAGTGGCCGGCTTGCTGGCCGCGCTGCGCCGGGCTGCTGGCGTGCATGGTCACTCCAGCTTGGGGAACTGCAGACCCACCATGTTGGCCGCCCGCACGTTCATGTCCTTCTCCCGCCGCTCCACAGGGATGCCAATGTTGTAAGACAGCAGCAGCTCCTGGGCAGACGTGAGAAGAAAGGTCGCAGTTCCACAGTCGGATGCAGCTGGGACAATAGCAAAGGTGAAACAGCGCACCAAGGGCACACCCGCGGCCGTGGCCCACCCCGCCACCGGCAGCGGGCACCGATTCAGAGCCGTATGTGCTGGCACGCTCCAGCGAGCCCTCACCTTGTGCTCCCTGACGCTGTGTATGAGGAAGGCGTAGTCTCTGGCCTGCTGCAGGGCCCGCTCCCGCTCCGCCGGGTCTGCCAGCTGCTCCCCACGCCGGAACTCGGCAATCACAAATTCCCTCCACTGCCTGTTGCCCGTGGCGCCGGTTATATTGCGGTCCACCGCCCGCAGCAAGGCGCGCAGAACCTGCCTCGCCTCTGTGCCCGACATGTCAATCCCTGGCACCCTCCATCGGCGATTTCATGCGTGGGTGGGCCTCCAATTGCCCAGGGAGTGAATTTCATGCGCTACCCAATCCAGCCTGGCAGACAGCCTGGCATGGATTCCTGCTCGAATGGGGGCGCCTGCTGCCTCCCCTGCGTTTTCCCTCGCTTCTGGGTGATGATTGCAGTCCACGCAGGGGCTGGGTACCACTCCCCGGCGCTCGAGGCCGCTTACAAGCGAGGTGATCGCCTGCCACAGGCGTGCACAGCAGCTGTCTTGCTGCCACGTGAGCTCACTGCACATTCATTCATCACCCCTTCCTCCGTGCAGACCTGGCGGCGGCCTGCAGGGCGGGAGCGGCGGTGCTGGCGGGCGGCGACGCGCTGGCCGCTGTGTCAGCGGCCATTAAAGTGCTCGAGGTGTGCTGCCGCACATCCCCAGGCAGCAGGGACTTGTGGCAGTGGGGCCTGCATGCCTTTCCCACAGCCAACGCCGCAGCTCCTGCTCGTTGGGCATCTGCTGTTGCCAATCCACCCTGCTGCATGCCTTGGCATGCACGGCTGCTCAACCCGCTGCCTGTGTGTTTGCACGGCGCTGGATCAGGGACTCTTGCACCTGCCATGAAAGCCCCGGGATTTTCTTCATCTGAAATCTGCCTGCCCCTCCCCTGCCACGGTCCGCGCATCCCCGCCTCCACAGGACAGCAGCCACTGCAATGCTGGCCGTGGCTCCAACCTGTCGTTTGGGGGCCATGTGGAGTGCGATGCGAGCGTGATGACGGGGGATGGCACCTTTGGCGCCGTGGCGGCCGCCCCAGGTGCGGCGTCGGCACGGATTGCGGCGCGACCCATCGTTTTTGCTGCTGCTGCTGCTGCTGCTGCTGCTGCATGTGAGGCTGCCTCAGCCAGCAGGCAGGCTGGATGGTGCCTAGCGCCAGCTGCAGCGCCTGGCAGCTGCCTGGTGGGTATGGGAGCTTCCAGCTTGCGGGTCAGCAGGTGCCAGGTGGCTCGTGCCCTGCAGGCATCCGGCACCCGATCGCCGCCGCCGAGCTGCTGGCACGGGAGAGCCGCCAGCCGCTGTCCAACGGCCGGGTGCGACCCATGTGAGCGCCCTCTGCTGCTGCTGCTGCTGCTGCTGCTGCTGCTGGCTGCTGCTGCTGCTACCGCCTGCTGGATACAGGCCTGCTGCTGCTCCTGCTCCTGCCGCTCCAGCTGCTGCTCGGCCCTGCTCATCAGCGCTGCCAGCGCGCGCGCCCCTGCGCAGGATGCTGGCCGGAGACCGGGCCCGGCAGTGGGCGTTGTCGCGAGGCCTGCCTGCAGCGGGCTCGCCCTCTGAGGCCGCCGCCATGCACGTCACAGGCAAGGCGCAGCGGCAGTGGGGCAAGTACCGGCGCATCGTGGATGGCGGCGGCGGCGGCGCGGAGGACAGCTCCGGAACCGAGGATGGCATGCCTGGGGATGCTGCTGAGGAGGAGGAGCAGCAGGAGCATCAGGGGCAGCAGGGGCAGCAGGAGCAGCAGGGGCAGGAGCAGGGGGAGGCAGCGGTTCCGCATCGCCCGCCCAAACGCAGCAAGCGGGCCAGCGGCGGCGGAACCGATGCCAGGCAACAAGCAGACCAGCAGGCGCGGCAGGAGCTGGAGCAGGGGCAGGACGAGGAGGCTGGCTGGCTGTATGACACGGTGGGCTGCGTGGCGCTGGCGCCGGGCGGCGGCATCGCAGCCGGCGTCAGCAGCGGCGGCATCGTGCTGAAGACCGAGGGGCGGGTGGGGGAGGCGGCCCTCTACGGCGCGGGCTGCTGGGCGCAGCAGCCGCAGCCGCCGCAGCAGCAGCAGCTCACGGGAGAGCAGGACCAGCAGGCGGCGCCGGCAGGGCCTATGCAGCAGCAGCAGCAGCAGCAGCCGGCGAGCTGGCAGCGCGCGGGGCCCTTGCTGGCGTGTAGCGTGACGGGGGTGGGTGAGCACATCATGCGCCACCTGCTGGCCCGAGAGTGCTGCCTGGCGGCGGCCGCCCCTGCAGCCGCGCCAGCTGGCGCCTTACCGCCGCGCCGGGCAGCAGCACAGGAGGCAGGAGGGCAGGCAGGGGCAGGGGCCAACGCAGTGGGCACCTCAGAGAAAGAGGCAGGGGTGGAGGAGGAAGCAGGAGTGGAGGAGGAGGCAGGGGCTGACGAGGCGGAGGTGGAGGTGGAGGTGCCGCTGGCGGGAGTGGCGGCGCAGCTGCTGCAGGGAACCATCCTCCTGGGGCCGCCGCCGCACGACTGCGGCCTGCTCTGCCTGCGGGCGCTGCCGCTGCCGCCGGATGCCGCCGGCGACGCCGCGGCAGGCGGGCACGAGGCGCAGGCGGCGGCCGAGCGGCAGGCGGCGCCGTGGCACGCCGCAGCCGGCGCCGCGGGCAGCGCCCTGCAGCCCCTTGGGGCTGGCAGCTGCAGCGCGCAGCAGCCAGGGGTCCGGCCAGGGGAGCGGCGGCGTGGCGGGGCGGAGCAGTACGTCGACCGTCCCACCTGTGTGGAGGAGGCGCCGCTGAAAAGACAGCCGGCAGAGGAGCGGCAGCGGCAGCGATATGCTGTTGAGGTGGCGGTGGCGCACAGCGCACAGAGCATGGCCTTTGCCCACATGGTCTGCCCCGGCGCCAGCGGCAGCGTGGCTGGCGGCGGCAGCAGCGGCGCGCCGACTGGCGGCGGCGGCGGCAAGGCGCCTGCGCCGGCGGTGTTTGTGCTGCGGCGCGTGGCGGGGTGCAGCGGGCTGGTGCCGCCTGTGCAGACGTACGTGCACGGCGTGACGGTGCGGGTGTGACACCCTTGCTGTGCTGTGTGTACTCGCTGTCGCTCGGAGCTGGCCCTAAACAATTCAAGGGACGCCAGCTGGGCGTCTGTGCTCAATGAAGAGCGGGAGGGTACGTGCAGCCCAGCGCCCAGCCATTATGCTCCAATTGCATGATGGCTGCATCAGGCGCGCCCCTGTTGCACACTCCCCAAACCCATGCACTGGCGGCGGCAGGCGGCGGCGGGGAGTGGGCCGGAGAGCCCCTGGTGGCGCGTGCTGTGGCTTACGCACCCCATGTCGCAGGATGAACTGATCGGCTGATTGAATCTGAAAGGCTGGTGAGACCGAACCGCCGGAGGCTCATCCCCACCACAGTTGACGTGAGCCCGTCCAGTATAAAATGGCACGGCTGCCACCTCTCCCGCATTTCTCCTTGTTGATTGCCGATGGGAAAGGGCGCCGGTAACTGCTTCAGTGCCGAGCCTGCTGCTGCTACTGCTGCCCCCAAGCCTACGACCACTCCTGCAGCTACTCCCGCGCCTGCCGTCGCTCCCAAGACCGCTCCAGCAGCTCCCAAGAACGGCACCATGGTTAAGATCGCGGTCATCTACTACAGCAGTGAGTGCAGGGTCTTCTTCCTCCCCTGCCTGTGCAATGATCACCAGTGATCCTGCCAATCTCCGTGCTCCTTTGGCGGCTGGCGGCCCTCCATCCTTCCCGTCGCCGCAAACAATCGCTCTGGGGGCGCCGTGCACTGCCGGTGGCCGCAGGATGCCAGGCCGCCGCCGCCTCCTCCCGCTTCTTCCGCCGCCCGCTGCCGACCTCCCAGTTTGCTGCTGCCGCTGCCTGCAGCCTACGGGCACGTGAAAACCCTGGTTGAGAAGATAGTCGAGGGCGTCAACTCGGTGGACGGCGCCGAGGCAACCATCTTCCAGGTATGTGGGCCCTGGGGAAACAAATCCGCCCCTACCGCCGGGCAGCAGCAGCGCTCCTCGGTGCTTTCCCGCTGCCACTTGGCGCCGCTCCTGCACCCGGCCGCCCCTCCACCCCTCCAGATATCCTTCCACCCAGATCCTATAATCAAGTGTGCCCACCCACCCTCTCTCCCTGCCACTGCAGGTGGCTGAGACGCTCCCTGCCGAGGTGCTGGCCAAGATGCACGCCCCCCCCAAGCCAGACCACCCCATCATCACCGCCAATGACCTCAAGGACTACGACGGCTTCCTGATGGGCTTCCCCACCCGGTGAGACTGGCGCAGAGGCGCGCCGGGCGCTGCCTCGGATGCTGCCGCCGCCGCTCTGCCTGCCACGCCTGTCGTGCAACTCCCCGCAGCTGTTAGACGCTGGCCGCACCTTGCGGCATCCTGCTTGCCAATCCTTATTTTTCTCCCAGCTCATTTGGCTTGCCTCCCCTGCTTGTTTCCCTCTCATCGCAGGTTTGGCATGATGGCATCCCAGTTCAAGGCTTTCCTCGACTCCACCGGCGGGCTGTGGCAAGCAGGGGCGCTGGTTGGCAAGCCCGCGGGCATCTTCACTTCGGTCGCCACCCAGGGCGGCGGCCTGGAGACCACCGCGCTCACCGCCATCACCCAGCTGACCCACCACGGTGCGTAGCGAGGTCCGGGGAGCTCAGGAAAGAGTGTGGGGCGTTGGGACCGTGGGGGTTGCGAGGCAGCGGCACCGCATCAGCGCATGCCCTGCGCCTACCAATGTCGACGCGCCTGCTGCCGCGCCTGCGCTGCTTGCAGGCATGATCTTCGTGCCCACCGGCTACACTTTTGGTGAGATGAGCTGCCAGCTGCCTGGTTGAGCAATGAGGCGAACCGCAACACAAAAGGGGCACTGTGGTGTTGGCTGGCTGCCTGCCGGGCCGCGCCTCTGCGTTCCCTCCTGTCCATCCGCTCTGCGTGCACCTCACCCGCTCTCCCCGCGCCTCCCTCACGGCTGCAGGTTCCAGCATGTTTAACGTGGGCGAGGTGCAGGGCGGCACCCCCTACGGGAGCTCTACCATCGCCGGCGCTGACGGTTCCCGCCAGCCATCCAAGCACGAGCTCGACTATGCCGTCCACCATGGCAAGTACTTTGCCGGCGTGGCGGCCAAGCTGGCAAAGTGAGGCGGGATCCGGCTGCTGCTTCAGCAGCCACGGCAGCGACCGCGCTGGCAGGGCTGGGCCGCGGCGGTTGCCCCGATGGCCTGAGGGCTCCAGCGCCTGCGGCCGCACCCACCGCCGCGCGGCGCAGATGCAGCACAGCGAGAGATAGACGCACGTCCATCGGCGAACACAACACTCTGCAGCTCCCAGTATTTGATATTTCTTTTGCACTGTGACCCGCAAATAATCCTGTACCCGACTCAGTTTGTAAAAATGCCCGCTTCAGGATCCAGGGCAGAGGGCCGGTGAGGTGCGGCAGCACTGCAGCCACACCCAACACCCTGACCACCTTTCCCCGGGCGCACCATTGCTTGGCGCCGCCTTCCAAACCATTTCCCTGAACGTTTCTAGCGCTGCTCTGCAGCTCTGCATGCTTTTACATCCTCACAGCCAATGAGGAGGGCAGACGGGAGGGCGGCATGCTGCCGCCATCTCGCCATGCAGCGGCTGCCAGCCATGGCTGGTGGGGGACGCAGCCCGGTGGCCCAGCCTGCCCTCCCCCGCCCTCCCAGCCACTCTCCGGCCTCCGTGCTGTCCGGAGGTCCGCCAGCAACGCGGCAGGCGACGTAGCCCCCTGCTGCGACTGACCACAGCGGGCGGCGGCGCACAAAAGAGGGCGCCGCCGCCGCTGGCACCTCATTCTCCCTCTCCTCGCCGCAGCTCTCCTGCTGTTTGTGCGTACTCCCCCGGCAACCGCTTGTGCCCTGTGTGCCTCGTTGCCCACAGCCCTGCCTCCCACCAAGATGGCCACCTCCGCTGCCCTCTCCCTCGCCTCGGCACACCAGACCTCCCCTGCAGGTGAGTGCACCAGTATGCAGCGTGACGGGGAGCCCCTCACATCGCCGCCTCCTCGCATGCTTGCAACGCGGCTGCCCATCTCACCATGCACCCTTTGCCCCACCCCTCCCTGTCACCTGCAGCCCACCTCAAGCTGCGGCTGATGTCGTGGAATGATGGCCAAGCCCTGCAGGCCAAGGTGAGGCAGGGTTGTGTGGGTGCGGGTACTGCCGCTCCGCCGCCGCCCGCCTCCGCTCCCAACCGACCCTGTGCCGCCAACCGCCAGCAGTGGACTGCCTGCTGCCAGGCTCTGGACCTGCCTATGACTGGCTCCTGGCCCTGACTTCTGAGTCATGTCGTTGTTCTTTTGCTTCTTCCCCTTGCCCATTTCTCACCGCTCCGCACCGCTCCTGCCGCTCCCTCCACCCCTGCAGGCAGCCCTGGCGGCCCCCTACTCCCGCACCCCAAGCTTCGAAATCCCCGCCCAGCACCTGCAAGCTGGCCTGGCCGCCCTGGCCTCCCCGCAAGATACCTCCCTCTGGCCCTCCCTGTCTTCTGCCACCCCCGCCCCTGCCCGCGCACTTGCCGGCTGCTGGGCCACCCGCCAGGCCTGCATCCTGCCTCCTCCCGTGCCCACCACCACCACTACCGCCGACTGCGGCTGCCAGGCAGACGCCGAGGACGTGTTGCCTCGCTACTTCAACACCACCCCCGCCTGCATCGTCAACACCCCTGCTGCCGACATGCACGAGGCGGCGACCAGCACCTACCTGCCCCCCGCCTGCCGCCTCGGCGCCTCACCCGCCTCCCTGGCCGGCCACGTCTATCCCAGCTGGAGCATCGCCGACATCTGCCGCCGGCACCAGGCGCCCGCTGTGGTGGCACCAGCTGCCTACGTGCCGCCGCAGCGCCTCACCCCGGCTGAGCAGGCAGTGGCTGCCACAGCTGGCCGCCCCGGCCGCCCCTGCGCCTTCCCCGCGCTGACGGCGGGGCCGCTGCCCGAGGCGCCGGCAACACTGACTGCAGCTCCTGTGTACCTGATGGCGCTGCAGGGGTGAGTGCGGGGGTGCAGTGCCAGGGTGGGCTGTGCACTGAGCCTTCCTGTCTGCCTGCCTGCTGCCAAGCCTCTGTCTCTGAGCCTTGGGAAGCGTAGCGGCTGATGCGCACCGCCTGCCTCCCCTCCCCCTGGTGCAGGCTGCTGCCCCAGCCCTCCTGCCCTGCTCTCTCCACCCCCGCTGAGGAGCCTGAGGCTGCTGCCGAGCCCACGGACACCACCACTCCAGCTCCTGCCCCTGAGGCACCCGCCGCCCCTGCCACTGCTACCGCCAAGCACCAGCGCCGCTCCTGGCCTGCACCCCGCCCGATGGCGGTGGTTGTCATGGCCCTGTGCAGCCAGCGAAAGCAGCAGCACAAGCCCTGCCGGCAGGGGCGCCGCACCGTGCGTGCCCCCATGCCGGCCCACCAGCAGCAGCCCAAGACGACCACCCGCCGCTGCCACCAGCACCAGCCCCGCCCCCGCGCCTGCTGCTAGGCTCGCCCTCCTGGCAGGGCAGGGGCTGCCGCCGCCTGGGTGTGCATCCCACCCCCGCCTCCTCCTGCTGCACCAAGCAGTGCCGCCGCTGCGCCAAGCGGCCCCTTGATTTTGTCCTGATTGGTTCCTGATTCAATGGTACCCTGCTCTTTATTCTTCTTTCAATGTTTTAGAACCATTATTTAAATATTTAGAGATGGCAGAGCATGTTGACATCAGCAGGCGCCGGCGGCGGTTCAGCGCTTTCCTCATCAATCCTGCTCGTCCTGAAACAGGTGTTTTATTGCTTCCACTCCCTAGGCTCGGGATCGCCTCCCCTAGGCTCGGGGAGTTGCAATCATAGACAGAGGCCGAACATGGCGGCCGTTCGCGTTGGCGTTGTGTATTACTCGGTGAGCGGGAAGGATAGGCTGTGCCGGGGGCGCCGATGGATGCACACGTGAGCCCTTTTACTAATCTTCCGCAGGTCCACGGCCACATCCGCGCGTTGGCCAAGGCATGTTGACAGAATGCCCCGCCTTGATTGCCGCTGAATGAGCACTTCGGGAGGTGTTTCTTTGCATCTAAACGAGACGCTGAACGCGAGGGTGTGCGGGATCTGCAGTCCAAGGCAGCATTGCGCCGGGTCTGCCGCCGCTGCCACCCGCAAACATGCCCCCGCCCCCGTCGCACTCGTGCCTTCCTCCTGCAGCAAGTGCTGGATGGCATCAACTCGGTGGAGGGCTGCGAGGGAGTGATGTACCAGGTACGAAGCTTGCAGGCCCTTCAAGGAAAGGACACTCACTGCCGCCAGCCCGTTTGGCCGGCCCGCTCGCGGCGCCGCACTCCCCTTCCTTTGCGCCACCTCCCCAACCGCGCCTGCAGGTCGCCGAGACGCTGCCTCCCGAGGTTCTGGAGCGGATCAAGGCGCTGCCCAGGAGCGACGACCCTGTAATCAGGGCAGGTCGGCAGAAGCAGCAGTAGTCAACTGCTGGCAGCTCATGCGCTGGCTGCGCCGCCGCATGCGGGGACCCCCATCACACGGGCAGGCAGGCAGAGGGCCTGACGTGGCAGGATGGCTGTGGCACACGGGTGGGCCGTGCGCTGCGCCGCGCTCGGCTCGGCGCCCGATGCATGCGCCTGTGCTGCCACTGTGTGCAGAGGAGCTGCCGGATTTCGATGGCCTCATCTTTGGTGAGCCGGCAGCTGCCCATCTTTTGCAGCACTGAGCGTTTAAGCTGACTCGGTCCTGCGGGATTCTGCTTTGATGCACACGCTCAGCTAGGTTCCTGGGTGGCCAGCCAAGCGCTCAGCAGCCAGCCAGCGTCCACTGTGCCTCCTGCCCTTCCCTGGCGACCTTCTGCTGCAGGCTTCCCCACCCGGGTGAGCTACTGGGCCCCAAGCTCCCGGGGCGCTTGGGCCACAACTCCTTGGCATGGTCGGCGGTGCATTCCTGCATGCCTGTTGCCTGAACGCGTGCGAGGCTCCTGATTCAAGGGTGCTGCCAATGAACTGAACTCCCTCTGTTTCTTCCTGTCAGTTTGGCATGATGCCGTCACAGGTGGGAGGGCTCTCAGCTGAAGCTGTAGCTGCAGCCGCCAGCAAGCCGGCAGCCTCCGTGCCGATGCCTTCCAGCCAGCGCCAGCCGAGGCGGCAGCCTGAGGGCGGGGATGCAGTGCTCTGCCATGGGTTGCGTGATCCTGCGCTGGATGCCAGTGCAGATGAAGGCCGTGTGGGACGCCACCGGCGCCCTGTGGGCCAAAGGATCGCTGGTGGGCAAGCCCGCCGCCGCCTTCACATCCGTCGGCACACAGGTCGGTGCCAGGGCTGGTGTTTGCTGCCATGGCAGCAGGCAAGGGCCAGCGGTGCAGTGGGGGCAGGCTCAGCTGCCTGCGGCAGCACCAAGATGGAGCAGCGGCAGCGCCTGCACCCTGCTGAGGTGGTCGGGCATCGGCACTGGAGCAGCTCCTGCAGCCAGGGCTGGGCATCGTGAACCCTGCTGCAAGTGCAGGGAGGAGGCATCGAAACCACCATTATGACTGCCGTTACTCAGTTTACTCACCACGGTGTGCAGCTGCGCGCTTGCAGTTGTCAGTGTGCATTGGGGCTGAGCCGTCCGAGTTGGGCGGCCCGCCACTTGCTGCTCACCTCCCTGCGCCCCGCACGCCCCGCATGCCCCGTTCACCAACTCGCAGGCATGATCTTCGTGCCCCCGGGATACTCCTTTGGCGCCGACATGTTCAGCCTGGAGGCAGTCAAGGCGGGCTCTCCCTGGGGGGCCGCCACCTTTGCCGGGGCGGACGGCTCTCGACAGCCCACTGAGGTGGAGCTCCAGTACGCCAAGCACCAGGCGAGTGTGGGAGCGCTTGCAGCAGGCGCGCTGTGGCAGGCCGGAGCGGCTGCTCGACGTCCGGCAGCGGGCCTCCAGGCATGTTGGCAAGGCTCAAGGGACCCCCCACGCCCCTGCTGCCCGCGCCTGGCCCCGCGCGCTGTGCCTGCTGCGTCTGCGCCTGCAGGGCGCCTACTTTGCCAGGGTTGTCAAGAAGCTGGCGGCGGCCACGTGAGCATGCTTCTGCGCCAAGCCGCACGCTGCAACAGGGCGGTGCTGGCACATCGGGCCAGCACCGCACGGCTAGTCATGGCAGCTGACTGAGGGACAGCCCGCTTTTGAATTGATTTAAGAGATGCACATCATCACTGCACAGACCCAGCCTGTGAACTCTTGACCTCCTTTGGCACTGCCCAGGTCACAGAAAGAATGATCACACGCGGCAACAACAGGTTTGACACTCCAGGCCAACAGCCTGCCGCGGCTGTCGCCGCCGCTGCCGCTGCTGCAGGCCTGGCACGACAGCTGCGGCAAGCTCGCCGCGGGCCAAGCTCTGAGCCTGCTGTCGCCGTCGTGGCCGCCGCGGCTCAAGCTCCACCTGCTCAAATCAGAGGCCCTGCTGCCGTAGCAGGCTCACAGCGCTGTGTCCTTCTGCTCCTCTGGAGCCACCATCTGCCACAGCTGGCGGTAGCTGTCCAGCTGGGCGGCATCCACGCCCGCCTGCGCAGGACGCGGCAAAGGACGGCGGGAGGCGAGCCCTTGGCGTGGCATGAGCCAGGGGAGCGCTATTGCAGCTCACACATACGTCCTGTGCTATGCAGCGTGCAATGCAACCGCGCGCCCGGCATACACCGACCGACCAAACTGTGGCTGGAGTGCACAGCTTCAGTAGCACGGCTGGCGGTGTAAGAAGGGCACCTCCCCCCACACACCTGCGTGGCCTGCCTCCCAAACTCCTGCACATCCAGCAGCAGCTGCTGCCCAATCATCTTGTCGGTGTCGGGCGCTGCAGCAGCAAGGGGGCGGGGCAGCGGGCTGGTGTTGGGAGGCAGCAGAGTAGTGGCAGCAGCAGCGGAGTGCAGGCCTGCCATGGAGGTGGCACAGGTGGCAGGGCTGCCATGAAGGTGGCACTGCTTGGAGGCAGCAGAGCCCCGCGCATTCAGTTTGCCCCCTGCCAAGCAGGCGGTGGCGCGCAGGGACCAACCTGCGCCGCCCTCGCCGCCCTGCTGCCGCGCCTTGAGCCGCTTCAGGCTCGACTCCGTCTTGCGCACGGTGCTGCGGCAGGGGAAGGGGAAGGGGCACGGGTGTCCAGGCGCAGGTGCCATAGGAAGAGAGAGAGAGGGGGTGATGCACAGAGGGTGGGGCCCATGCAGGCTTGGGGGTTCCTGGGGGCCAGGGGGCCCACTGCAGCAGGTGTGCGAGAGCCCCAGCAGCCCCAGCAGGCAGGCAGGAGAGTGCGGGCCAAGCACCTGAGCGTGTCGGCTGCCAGGTGCAGGTAGCGGCCGCTGACGCCCGTCACCACGGCAACCGCCAGCTGCTGCCGCGCCTCGGGGCTCAGCTTGCTTGCCACGTCCGCCTGGCAGCGAGGGAGGGCAGCGGGCCAGGACGGTATCGAGCAGCGGTTGGCAGCCGCAGGGCGCGAAGCGGGAGAGCGGGGCAGGGCAGCCGGCGCTACAGACGCAGCGGCAGCAGCAGCGGCCGGGTACCAGGCAGCAGCAGCCACATGCCGCCCACCCAGCAGCAGCAGCTCTGCAGGCTGCGGAGCTGTGCCAGCGGCAGGGAAAGCCAGAGAGGCAGGTGCCACCACCCCACCTGCAGGAACTGGTGCAGCGGAGCCAGGATCATAGAGACGTAGTGCGAGGGGCGGGAGGGCAGGGAGCGGCTGGTCATGCGGAAGGTCGCCACGATGCCTCGCAGCTACAGGGCAGGCGGGCAGGGAGGCAGGAGGTACCGGGTGGAGGCAGGCAGGCAGGCAGGCGGGCAGGCGGGCGGTAGAGCGGGGGGTGAGGACCCGTGTGGGGTGCACGGCAGGTAGGCAGGAGGGAGATGGTGGTCGGGCAGAGGGGCAGGGGCAGGTGGAGAGGCAAGCAGCTGCCAGCCAGGCCCAGCCAGCCAGCCAGCCAGCCCCCACCCACCTGCTTCAGCACCACCACACTCTTCTCTGTGAGGCTCTCTGCCACGGCGCCCATCACCGCCGCACCCGCCGCCTCCAGCCGCTCCGCTCCCTCTGAGAAGGCAGAGGCGGTTGCCTCTGCTGCCTCTGGAGGCAGCTCCGCCAGCAGCGCCGACAGCTGGGGCACAAAGGTGGAGAGCAGGGAGGACAGCAGTACATCCACGTCCCGCCGAAGCGCCGCCAGCTGCTCGGGAGTGGCCGCCGCCTCCCAGCTGGCAGCGGCAGCTGTTCCCGTGCCGTCGGACGTCTGGCCGTTGGCGGCCGCCGACGCAGAGGCGGCGGCGCCGGCCTGGTCGCCGCCGGCTGGCGGCTGGCCGCCTGCGGCGGCAGCCGCTGCGGCCGCCTTGGCCCGCTGCTCCATGCCGCTGCTGATCCAGGCTGCGTAGCGGGCGATCAGCTGCAACGTGAGCCGCACAAACTTGTCTGCCAGCTGGGGGAGGAAGACATCCCTGCTGGCGCAGCGCTGCAGCCCGGCCCAGAGCGCGGCAGAGGGCGCCCAGGCAAACCGCGGCGTGGCGGCGTCCGCGGCGCCGCCCTCGCCGCCCGCCGGCTGCAGCGCCGCTGCAGTCAGCTTGCTCTCCAGCGCGCCGGCGATGTCCTGAAGGCAAGCAGGCAGGCAGGTGCGGGAGAGCAGGCACGGCAGAGGTCAGCCCCAGCCCGGGGTCATGCAGGCACAGGCATGGCCCGCCCTGCGCGACACAGGTTTAGCTGCCGGCTTGACTGCCGCTGCCACCTCCCCGGACACACACACACAACACACACACACATCGACCCAGCCCTCAGCCCACCTGGAAGCGCAGGGAGAAGTAGACGGGCAGGTTCCACCTGCGCATGAAGGCGCCATAGGCGGCGCTGCCCCGGAACGCCTCCACCTGCGGGCGGCAGGGAGCAGGGGCGCCCCACACGGGGTGCGGCACAGTCATTTGCCGCTGGCGGGGAGTGGGCGGCCGGCAGGCGACAGAGGGGAGCCACACCCTGCACCACCCATGCAAACCCCAGGCGTGCAGGAGGGCAGTACAGTACCGTCCGGCCACCGTGTGCTGCTGAATGTACTGCATGTACCTGCGCCTGCGTAGTGCAGTATCCCTCCAGGGCGTCCACGAAGCGCAGCGCCGCCTGGAAGTTGGCGTGGAAGGTGGCTGGTACGCCCGCGCTGAACACGCCTGCACGAAGGAACGGGTGAGAAGCGTGCAGGCACGGGTCAAGCGGCGCATGCATGCAGGAATGGTGCGGAGGTTGGCAGCAGCCCAGCTGGCTGCTCGCGGGCTGCCTATGCGCAAGCACAGCCACGGTTGAGCAACGGTTGAGCGACAGACAGAGTGCTTGCCAGCTGGGACAGAGTCCAGCCACCCCTGCCGCTGACCTGGCAGCGACTCCTCGAGCGCCGCCTGCACCTCTGCCAGCAGCGAGCCGCCCAGGAAGTCGAATGGTTGGGAGGTGGAGGGCTGCGGGCAGGTGGTGAGGGTGCAGAAGAAGGGTCAGGCGGCGGGCTGGGCCAGTGCGTGCAGTGGACCTCCACCTGCCCACACCTCACCTGCCCTGCGCTGCTGCTGACTAGGCGCCCCGCACCATCCACCACCACCTCGGCTGACGCTCTGCACACATGCGCTCCCTCCCGCCCAGCCCACCTGCGACATCGTATGCTCCAGGAAGGGTGCACACTGCGCCTTGAGGCCCTCCGTCACCGCAGCCAGGACGTCGCCCAGGCGCGTGCCCGCCGAGGGCCCCCCGACCTGCGCTTTCGCCTTCTGGTCCGCCACCGCCTGATGCACCACAGGCGCCACCAGCGTGGCGCGGACCACCGCCTCTGCCGCCTGTGGCCGCGCGATGGCGGCATACGCATGCAGGCAGACGCCCAGCGCGACAGGGCTCTGGCTCTGCAGCGTCACCGCCAGCGCCCCGTCAAGCGAGAGCTGCAGCTGCTCCGCGGCGCCGTCGATGCGGGGCTGCAGCTGCCGCATGAACTCCAGCTCCTGAGGGCGGCAGGGCGCGGGCGGAGCAACAAGAGGGTGACAGTTCTGTGCGCAGCTGCTGCGCCAGCGAAATGCCGGCTCCCACAGCTGTGCAGGCAGTAAAGACCCCCCATGCCTGCCTGCCCACCAGCCGGCTCAACCCAACGCTTGATCCGGCCGCCCACCCACCCACCCACGCCCTCGCAACCACCGATCCCCGCCCCCCGCGGCCCTTGCAGCCACCGTGCCCTGCCCCACCTGCCCTCGCGCCGCGAAGAACTGGAGGCGGCTGACCTCCGAGGCCACACGGTCCAGCAGGCGGCAGTGCGCCTCCAGCTCCTCAGGCGACCCGCCGCCCACTGCAGCCAGGCGGGGCAGGCGACAGAGGAGGCGAGCAGCATGTGACGAGCAGCGGCAGATGAGAGATGGTGGTGGTGGCGGCGCTGGCACAGGCAGCATAGCGTGGCATGGCAGCCAGGTGGGCCAGGCTCGGTACGTCGGAAGCGCTGGCTTGGCCACGAGCAAACAAACGTCCAGGCAGAGTCTGCAGCGCCTTGCTGCGCACCTTCCCCCGCGGCCCGGACCTCCCCGAGCAGCTTGTCCACTTTAGACATGACGTGCGCCGTGTCCTGCATGAGTTCCAGCAGCGCCCGCGCCGCCGCCACCGTCTGCCGCCGCTGCAGCCCGCTCTGCAGCTCCGCGGCCTGGCCTGCGATGCCGCCTCGCGCGGCTTCCAGCTTCTCCTGCAGGGCGGACACCACAGACCGGCTCCCAAAGCATGAGCCACTAAACGATGCGCGGTGTGTGACTTCCCAGCCAGCAGCAGCACCCAGAGACGCACCTGCAGCTCCAGCAGCGGCTTCTGCATGCGGGTCAGCGCCCCATCCACGTTGACCAGCTTGGTGGAAAGCGAGACGAAGTCGTTGTAGTCGTCGTTGATGACCTGTTAGTCGGATGGGCCCCCAGGTGAGGCAGGGCAGGGAGAAGAGGCGAGAGGACACGCTGAGGGAGGTTGGAAGCCCCGGCGTTGCATCCACAGCGCCTGTAGCCATGCAATGCAGGCTGGCCTCACCTCCACCAGTTTGTTCTTCAGGGCGCCCAGGTGGGAGTGCAGCTCGCTGCTCAGCGTCTCCAGCGGCACCTGCGGCGGCGGCAGTTCGGTTGGGCGGGCGGCGGGCGCGCGTGGCGGCCTTCGGCCAGGGCGTGTGCAGGCGCTGCAACGGTCCCAGCATCGTGCACGGGCATCCTGGAAGCACAAGCAGGCAGCCAGAGGTCGTCTGCAGGCCGCAGCTGATGGCAGCGGGGCCTCACGTAGCGCTTCAGGTCGCTGACGTAGCCCACGGGGCTGAACTCGGGCTCCGTGAACAGCTCGGGCTTGAACCAGGAGGCCAGGCGGGAGCTGTCCAGCGCGAGGGAGGCGGTGTGCGAGGCCAGCGCCTCCATGGAAGCGGGGGCCTCCGGGGCCCCCGCCATGGCCCACGATCAAGCAGCCCAGCCGATCGAGGGCCAGAGATCGCGCCGCGCTGGGCAGCCCTCAAAGGTTGGCTGCACCCCCTTCTCCACAGCGTCTGATTGGAGGTCAGCAACCACGATCGCAATGCGCACAGCGGCTGGGAACGCCGGATCGTGAGCTGCGGCAATGGTGAGCTGGAGCCAGCTAATGTGACACATTAGCGTCTTGAAAGGGCTCTAGAGCCCTTTACACGCTACCGTCGATTCCCCACCAATTGGACTGCATCGTCTCAAAGCTCTGGTTCAATGCTGGGGCCCCTTGCCGCCCGAACTCTGCCCGCCTGGGCTGCTGCCACACAGGGCAGAGCCCTATGCCGCCCTGCGGCAGCTGCGTTTCATGCGAGTGTCTGCAGCAGATCACTGGCTTCGGCAGCAGAGGGTGGTGGCGGCGCCGCCACCGCCGCCGCCGCCCAAGATGCCGCCTGGCGGCAGCGGTTCGACGGCGTGGCGCCTGGCAGCATCCTGCGGCTGGGCTTCCTCAATAGCGTGGCTGACTTGACAGTCAGGGTCGGCGAGCATGAGGCCATCGAGCTCAGCAGCAGCGCGCAGCTGCAGGCGGGGCAGGCGCAGCACCCACACCGCGAGGACGCGACTGTCGGTGGGTGCACTGGCAGCAGCAAGCAGGCGTTGTTGCAGATAAGGGCGTTGCCCCACCCGTTGAGAAAAGACACAGCTATGCTTCCAAGCAGCGCACCTTCTGCCACCCCACCCTGCGCCCTCCCGTGCCTGCCCCGCCCGCAGTGTCGGTGGTGGGCAGCGGCAGCGACGAGCTGGCGCCCTCGGCGGCCCCGCTGCCACGCCTGCAGCTGCAGGCGCTGGCTCCCTCCCGCTTCCTGTCCATAGAAGCCACCACCAGCGGCGGCAGCGTGCATGTGGATGCGGTGCAGGAGGGCAGCCTGCGGGTCAGCACCAGCGGCGGCGACATCTCGGCACCCAAGGTGAGACTCTGGGCTCGAGCAGGGCTGCGGCTGGGTGCGGGCTGATGTGGGGCTGGCTAGACCGGTGGCTCATCGGGCAGATGCACAGCACACTGGGCTCTCCTGTTTTTGCACGGTGCTGCCGCTCGCGGGCAGGGAGCTGCCCGGCAGCACAGCAAGCAGCCCGCCCTCTGCGCCGGGCAGGGCCGCACTCCCGGGGCTGACTGCCGAGACGCCCCTGGGCTGGGCCTGGTGTGTCGACTCACGCGCAGGTCAAGGCGATTGACGCCCACCTGTTTTCGGGCGGCGGCGCCATCCGCGGCGCCATGACCGGCGTGGACGTGCGGGTGGACAGCGGGGGTGGCCCGCTGGCGCTGGCCGCGCTGGTGGCCAGGCGCGCGGCGCTGCGGAGCGGCGGTGGGGCGCTCACGCTGGGGGCGTGCTATGCAGACGATCTGGAGGCGGACTCAGGTGAGGGGGCCCTGGGGATGCCTGCCTCCACTCGACCAGCCCATACCCTGCCCCACCCTCAACCTGCCCTGCCCTGCCCGGCCCGGCAGGCGGCGGGCCGGTCCACGTCACAAACATGGACTGCCGCGGCGGCAGCGCGACGCTGCGCTCGTGCGGCGGCGCCGTGGCGGTGGACAGCCTTGACGGCAACCTTCAGGTCGACTCGGGGGGCGGCGCTGTGCAGGCAAGCTGGGACGGTGTGAGGCTGCTGGGGCTGGGTGTCCGCTGGCGTGCAGCGGAAGTTGCAGGGGCTTAATCCCCGGCTCGACCGCAGGCAGCAGCCAGCCAGCCCCAGCAGCCGGCTTGCGCCCTGCCCCATCTGCCGTCCTTTCCCTCGAGCGCCTGCGCCTGCCTGTCTACCGCTGACCCGCTGCAGGTGCAGCTGGCCGACAACGCCAGCGCCGTCAGTGTGGCCAGCGGCGGCGGCGACATCCAGCTGTTCCTGAGCCCCGGGCTGACGGGGCTGCTGCGCCTGCGCAGCTGCGCGCGCGTCGCCGCCCGGCCCGGCACCGTGCGGCAGGTGGAGACGCGGGACGACGGCAGCCTGCTCTTCCGCCTGCCCTTGGAGCAAGGGGACGCAGCGGCAGTCGGACGGGACAGGGCTGCAATGCCGGCAGCGGCAGCGGAAGGGGTATCGGCAGCGCCGCGCAGCCGTCTGCAGCGGGCGGTGGATGTGCAGCCGCAGCCGCCGTCTGGCAGCGATGGCACGACGGGCAGCAGAGGGCAGGCTGGTGCCGACATTGTGCTGGATGCGGGTGAGCGAGTGCCACAGATGCTGGGCAGAGGGATGATTCCTGGACGGCAACTGGGACCCATCGCCATGCTGCTCCAGCTGGGTTTCAGGGCTGCCCTCTGTTGCTGCGCAGGCGGCAGCGGCACCATCACCCTCACGCACCGCGGCTGGATGGATGCGCTGCGCCAGCGCTGGAGCTAGTGCAGCTGGGGATTCGCCTCTGCTCGATTTATTTGCCTTGCTGGTTTCTTTGGCACTCCCTTGCCAACATCAGTATCAACCGTTTACAGCACAGTTTGCATGGTCATGTTCATTGATCAGTCGCCTAACTGTAGCCGAAATGCTTCAATGACATCGCCTTCCTGCAGCTGATAGTCTGCCAATAAGCTGCGCCCGTCAAAAAGAGGCGTACCGTCTGTGGCTCCATGCCTGTCTTGGTGCAAAAGCTCCAAGTCATTTAAATGGTGCACTGCGACCCTGTCTAGCATGACACGCTCATCCACACACGGCGGCACTGACGCGGCGGCGACTACGCCAGTGCGGCGGTTAAGTCAGGTGACCCCCAGAAGTCACTGCTGCCCTCGCTGGGTAATCCCGCAGCCTAATTGGCGATGCAAGTCACTCTGACAGTGCTGCTCAGTGGAGCCAGGCCACAGACAGACTGCCTCCCGTTGTGGCTGCCCCAAGTTCACTGCCATCTACGAAGCCAGCGCATGAATCCCTCCAACACTTGATGATCGGGATGGGCGTGAGGATAGCAAGGCGTGCAAGCGGGGCAAGGCAGCCCAGGTCAGGGTCCAGGTTGGCCGTTTGCTCGCAGCGCCGTCCAGCACAGTCCATTCATGCAGTGTAAAGAATACTTCTAGCATCCAACTGCTCGGAGGGCGCTTACCCCGGTTTTCGCCAGAAGCGTGTGCCAGGGCCCGGCTCTCTCGAGCCAGCAACGCCCAGCGGCGGGCGTGTGAGCAGGCGAGGTGCGCTGATGGGCGGCTGGTGCGTGATCGAGTGCGCACACCTCCTCTGGGCCTGGATTTACCCGGCCGTGGCTCCCTGACACCCTGCAGGCCCAGCCAGGGCGCCGTAGCCGCGCCCAGCGACCAGTCGGCGCCCCCAGTCAAAGCGCAGCGCAGGATGGTGAGCCTCACCAGCAGGCGATGCCGCCGCGCGGTATCGCTTTGCCTGCCGCCCGGCTAGCAGCAGCCTCCTACACAACAATGCCTTGCAGCACGGGCGAGGCTCTGCGGGCTTGGCCGTACACTGACCGACCACCTGCTGCGCGGCGGCCGCCCGCCTGCCGCCCTGCAGGAGCAGCCGGCACCTGCAGCCCCTGGAGAGGCCCCCACAGCCGCACCTGCCCCTGCCGCCGCCGAGCCGCCGCCCAGCGAGCAGCCGGCGCGCGCACCCGAGGACCAGCCGCCAGCAGCCGTGCCAGCACCCGCGGCGGCGCCAGAGCAGGATGGGCCCAAGCCCGACGCCTCGGCCGCCGAAGCGGAGGCCGAGGCGCAGGAGGACGAGGAGGTGGCGGCGGCGCTGTTTGACCTTGCCGCCGCGCCAGCAGCCTCGCCGCCGCCGCGCGCGGCCTCGCCGCCGCCGCAGCCGCCGGCCTTTGGCGGCGCCGCGTTTGGCGGCGCCGCCGCGGCCGCCCCGCAGCAGCACGGCGCGCTGCCCTCGCTCCACCTCCTGCAGCAGTACCAGCAGCACGACCTCAAGCCGCTGCTGAGCCCGCGCAAGCGGCCCCGCAAGCCCAATAAGACGCTGGCGATGTATGAAGAGTTCACAGGTGGGTGCTGGCCGCGGGGCTGCAGCCCTGCCAGGCGGAGGGATTGCGGCCCACCCAGCTCCCCCTGGTCGCCAACACAGCAAGCTGCTGAGCACGACGCTAGAGCGGCTCTGGCTGCCTGCTGCTGACCGTCTGCCGCGCTGCGCTCCTCGCCCTGCGCCGCTCCCTGAGCAGATGGGGAGTCGGATGCAGAGGAGAAGGCGGAGGGCGGCGGCAAGCGGCCGGCCAAGCGCGGCGGCGGGCGGTGGGGCGGCCGCGGCGGCGCGGCCGGCGGCCGCGGCCGCGGCGGCTGGGGCCTCCCCGCGCAGCAGCAGGCGGGCGGGCGGGGCGGGCGGGGCGACGCCCCGCGCGAGTCCTCCACAGCCGACAGCCGCGACATGAGCTGGGCGCAGCAGCAGGCGGCGGCGGCTGCGGCGCTGGCCTCTGTGCAGCAGCCGCCCCCAGCCCTGCCCAGCGCGCCCCGGCAGCTCGCGGCGCCGCCGCCGCTGCCAGACATGCTGCGGCAGCCGGTCAAGCGCTGCGCCATCCACGCCTACATCGCACACCTGGTGCAGTACCACCACCAGCTGACGGCGGCGCAGCAGGGCGCGGCGTCGCAGCAGGCCCAGCCGGTGGCGGCACAGCCGCCGCTCGCGTCCATGCTCCTGCAGCAGCAGCAGCAGCAGCAGGCGTTTGGCGGCGCACCGCCGCCGCAGAGCGCGCTGCTGGCGGCGCTGGCTGGGCTGGGAGGTGGCGGCCTGCCGGCCGGCGGCGGCAGCGCCCTGGCAGCGCTTGCGCCCTACCTGCAAGCAGGCGGCGCCAGCGGCGCCCTTGCCGCCCTGACGGCGGCGGCATCCAACCGGGGTGGCGGCGGCGGCGTGGCCGGCCTGCTGCAGCAGCTGCTGCCGCAGCAGCAGCCGCAGCAGGCGCAGCAGTCGCGCGGCGGCCTGGCTGGCCTTCCACCGCAGCTTGCCTCCGCGCTGCTGGCTGCTGGCATTGGCGGCGGAGGCGCTCTGGGCGGCCTGGGCGGCGGCGGGGCGCCGGCGCTGCAGCAGCCCCCCGGACTGGCGGCTCAGCTGGCAGGTGGGGTGGGGACCTAGCGCCAGCTCTCAAGCACGCTTGCTCCTGCAGGATGGCACTTGCCTGTTTTGCTGCCTGCATTATACACATTGGTCACCTCACTGTTTGGCCCACCTCCCGCCATGCCGCCCTCCTCCTACAGCCCTGCAAAGCGCCCTCAGGCCGGCAGGCGTGCCGGGCGGCGAGCAGCAGCTGGGGGGCTTGCCGGCAGCGCTGGCCCAGGCTGCCGGCGAGCGCTCGGCTCCCATGCAGCAGGTGAGTGGCCCTCGCCCGCAGGCATACATGCCTCAGCCTTGCTGGCCGGCTGGGTGTCTGCCTGGGTGGCTGCCTCCATGTAGATGTGGGTGCAGCCGGAATCCCTGTGGCCGCATGCCGTCCCAGCCACCTGCTGGCTTGCCCTCCTGGTTTGCAGGGCCCCGCCGCCCCGCAGCAGGCTCAGCAGCAGCAGCAGCAGCAGCAGAGCCGCATCTCTGATGTGCTGGGGCAGCTGCTGGCGCTGCAGCGGCAGTTCCAGCAGCCTGTGGGCGGCGTCGGCGGCGGCGCGGGCCCCGGCCCCGTGCAGGGGCCCACCCACCCAGGCAGCGGCCCTCCTCCGCAGCAGCAGGAGCAGCAGCAGCGGCTGGGTCTCATGATGAACCAGCTGCTGCAGGCACAGCAGGCTCAGCAGGCACAGCAGCAGGCGCAGCAGGCGCAGGCACAGCAACAGGCGCAGCAGCAGGCGCAGCAGCAGGCGCAGGCGCAGCAGCAGCAGGCGCAGCAGCAGGCGCAGGCGCAGCAGCAGCAGCAGCAGCAGGCGCAGCAGCAGGCGCAGCAGCAGCAGGGAGCTCATCCGCAGGCCGGCCCCAATGAGTTGCAGCGCTTGCTCGAGATGATGAAAGCAGGTGGCGGTGGTGGTGGGCCAGCGCCGCCAGCCAGCGCGGGGACGGCAGCAGGCGCCACTGCCGGCATGAATGGCGCAGCCCAGGATCCCGCTGCCGGCAGCGATGCTGGCGGCGGCGGCCTGCAGCCGCCTGTGGGCAGCGCGCTGCAAAGCCTGCTGCGTTCGGTGGGCGGGCAACCACAGCTGCTTCTGCAGCTGCTGCACCAGTACCGGTTGCGCCAGTCGGCCAGCCCCTCGCAGCTGGCGCAGCTGCTGCAGGCGCAGGCTGCTGCGCAAGGCGGCGAGGGCCCGGCTGCTGCCGCTGCCGCTGCTGCTACGGAGGCTGCTGGCAGGATGCAGGCGGTGGCGGCGCCAGGTAGCGGCCAGCAGGAGGAGGGGCAAGCGCCAGGCGCCGCCGGTGAGGCCGCCGCCGGTGAGGCCGCCAGCCTGCCGCCTGAGCGGGCAGGCGAACAGGCAGGCGGAGTGCCCAAAGCACACGCCCAGCAGCAGCCGGAGGGGCAGCTGGTGGCGCCTGAGCACCAGCGGTCACGGCTGCCCGAGGGGCCGGAGAAGCAGGTCGATGGGCCAGCAGAGGTGCCACCGGCTGCAGCAGCAGGCACCGGCGCTGGCGGGGCAGCGGGCAGCAAGGAGGGCCCAGACCAGCAGCAGCAGATGGATCAGCAGGGTGCCCCCGACCAGCCTCGCCCAGGCAGCCCGCCGCCGGCATCCGCCCCGCTGCCAGCGCTGGTGCCTGCTGGGCAGACTTCGCCGCCGACAGCAAACGGCGGCACCGTGAGCAGCGAGCATGGGCAGGAGGCAGCTCAGGCAGCGGCCGGCGGGCACCCGCCTGCCCTGCAGCAGCCAGGGGCTGGGACGAAGCAGCAGGACGGTGGTGCCGACCGTGCCCAGCAGGCACCGCCAGAGCCTCAGCAGGCAGCGCAGGAGGCGGGCGCTGCCGGGCAGCCCGCTTTCCAGCAGCGCCTGGCGACTGCCATGGACCAGCTGCGCATGCAGCTGCTGCTGCAACAGCAGCAGAAGCAGGCAGGCCAGCCGGCGGCGGCGGCGGCGGCGGCGGGTCTGGGCGCCGCGTATGGCGGGGGCCAGCCGGGCAGCCAGATGCAGCGCGTGTTGATGATGCAGCAGCTGATGGCTCAGCAGCTGGCGCAGCAGCAGCAGCAGCAGGGTCAGCCGCAGGCAGCGCATGGCGGCGGCGCCGAGCCGCAGCAGCCTCGCCAGCTGCCTCCGAACCTGGCAGCGCTGCTGGCATCCATGCACGGCACTGGTGTGGAGACTTTGTTGGGAGGCCTGCAGGTGTGTGTACGGGTGGGGGGGCCGCGGCAGCGAATAGGAGGGAGGTACCTGCAGGGGAGTCGGAAACATGTCCTTGCGATGCCGGGACCCAGACTAATGCTAACTTTTCGTATGCTGGGCGTGCAATGCACGTGTGTCTGATGCTTGCCTGTGGGTTGTTGCGCTCATTGTGTGAAGGGAGCACCGAAGCCACCGCAACCGTAGTACCAAGGCTGTCCCAGCTCCCACCCCATCTCATCAAGAATACCCTGAGGCAACGAGCACACGCATCACCACTCTTCGTGTCGGCAGTCGCTGCCCGCGCCAACCACACGCCAGGCTCATTCCGAGCGCTCGCCCCCACTGCTGATTGGCCGGTCTGTAACATTGCAGCTGCTTGCACATCATCTCGCCGAGCCCCTAACCTTGTATTGCAGTCAACTCACTCCTTCGTCACCCGGTGCACAGAGCACAATGGAGGCAGGTGCGGCTACAGCACCCGGTCGGGAGTTGGCGGGGCTGCCTGCCACATGCCATGCCCCCAGCCTCTGTTTCCTGCGGCGCACTGTACACACTGGCCTGATATCACCAGGCCCCCGCTGATGGCCTGCTTACCTGAAGAGGGGGAGAGGGACATGGGGTAGGCAGCCTCGCGCCCGCGGTCCCACCTACCGCCCCCCCAAAATGGGTACTGGGCTCAGTCACATGGGTTGCACTTGTTTGCGCTGCAATGCCACCAAATGCGCTTGCATGGCCTTCTGAATGGCTGGAGGGCGCTTGGAGCTGGCCTTCATGAATGACGGGGGTCGTGAACCTCCCCGTCAGCCTTGAGAGTGGTCGCGGCCACCCGGTTTCCCAGAGACCTGCACCCATTGCAGAATTAAAACCCACTGCCTTCCTCATGATCTCATCAACCGGGACTTGAACCCCGGCCTCCCTCCCGCAAACCCCGTCCGCGCACTCGCGGGCTTGCGGGCCAGCGCGGCACGCCTGGCTGAGGGATTACCTTCACACTTGCCCCCACGCCGGTGGGCACCACCGTCGCGCTGTGGGCTGTGCGGGGCTTGGCGCCATGAGCGGGCGGTCGCTGCCGGAGCCCGTGCAGCCGACAGGTGGGGCTTCAGGCGGGAGGAGGGCAGCAGAGACACCCCCTGCAGCTCGGTTGGTGGGGTTGGTGGTAGCTTCAACTCAGCGCGCATCCCCCTTGCGTGCATCTTCCCGCAGAGCATAGAGAGGGTTCGACGTCTGGCTGTCCCTCCCTGAGCGGCATGCCTACGCCCCGCGCCGAGGATGCCCTGGCGGTTGCCCTCTCCTCTGGCGGGACCATTGGCTCGGCGCCCGCCACCGCCGCCGCGCTCTTTGCTCCGCCAGCTCCTGCTCCCTCACCAGCCGGCGCACCCAGACACCTTGATAGCGGCACCCTGCAGCAGCTCTGCCGCGAGCTGGATCGGCACCTGCCCGCGTGCGACATCGTGGAAGGTTTGTGTTTGCGGCGGTGGCCTTGCACCACCCCCTGCATGGGCGCCCTTGCTGGCTGCTAGCCTCTTTTGTGCGCTGACCCAAGTCGGACCCATCGGCCTCCCCCTCATGTGTAGTCCCAAGTAACGGCTACCTTGTGGTCCGCCGCCATACGGGCCAGCCAGAACGCATCCTCAGCCGCCCGGCACCCTACGCTCCGGGAGGGCGGCTGTCGTCCCGCACTACAGCCGCCGCCGCAACAGCAGGAGGCGCAGCTGGCACGCCGGATGGCATAGCTGCAGATCCTGCAGCAGCAGGTGCAGCCGCAGCCGCCTGGGTGCCGGCCCAGGAGCGTCGCTACCAGCAGCAGCTGCAGCACCTGCGGCTGGTGGTGGAGCTGCGGGAGCTGTTGCGGAGCCAGCTGCAGGAAGCACAGCAGCAGGGCTTGTCCTCAGCCCCTGCCCCGCTGCCGCCGCCGCCACCGCCGCAGCAGTCTCCGCAGCCGCAGCTACTGCCGCAGGTCAGCTTCCCGCTGGCGCCCGCGCCGCAGCCGGTGCAGCTGCTGGGCGCTGGCGACGGCTGGAGCGGCTTTATTGCCAACCGGCTAGTGGCCGGGCGCAAGCTAGCAATGACGTGGAACCCGCCGCCGCCACAACAACCATGACCCCTCCTCCTGCACCCCGCATTGATTGCGGTAGCAGCCACAGTGCCGCCGCCATGTCCTTCCTCGTCTCGGGGCCGGACCCGGCCATGCTGCCACAGTCGCACATGAGCGGCCGGCGCAGCATGCTTCTCTTGATTCCTATTCCCTCTTGCGTTGGTGCGACCCTTTTCCAGTCGTTCATTCATGGCCTGGCTGCTTGCCGTGGTGCCAGTGCACCTTGCTTGCCTTGCTTGTTACCACTAACCTTGTTTGCCCACACCTTGGAGAACTTGCTCTGCATCAGGCCTGCCACAAATAAGTACTCTTTTGCTCTTTTCCTGTTGCCCCGCTGTTGGGCCCGCACCCGCATCACTGCAGTATGACCCTCTCTCTCATTGTCTCTACGCCTCCCTAGCCCCCTACCTGCCCTGTACGGTGAACAGTACTTTTTGAACCGGCGTTCCTCCTACCTAACTTGGAACCTTCTACGCTTGACTTTGAACAACATGCTGACGAGATGCCGTGATGGCAGGCTCTTTAGGAGCCGGCAGCTCTCATTTCATTGAAACCCAACTCCCACCAACAACCAGCCGCCTCCATCTTCACATGTATGTAAGCTCACGGTGAACACCCTTCCTTCTCGCGTCACCGCATGTTGTCCCATGCGGCCACTCTCTTTTTTATAACTGTACTTAAGTGTAGCTTACCTTTTTATCCGTATCTTGCCCAGGCACATGCCAGCAAAGCAAACAGTTGAGGATTCAATTGGGGGGCATGTCTGGGCATCGCGGCCGTGTGGCGCCATGCGGCGACGGCGGCGGCCACACATCAGGCTCAGGTAACCTTGACCTCGCAGAAGTTTTCGTCTTCTTCATTTGCCCCCGCCTGATCAATCGGCAGAGCCTGCGCCCGGAGGTCGAGTGGGAACCCGCCCCACCATCATGTGGAAGCCGTTCGGGCGCTTCCACGTTGGCTACTGCGAAGCAGAATGGAGCTGCGAGGAGGGCCAGGTACTGCCGCGTGCCCTGCGTCCCACCGCTGTGCCGGGCGCCGCCGCCGCCCGCTCAGCGCCCGCCGTCGCACCGCTCACCCACGCAACCCCCACCTGCCATCTGTTGCCTGGTCTGCAAGCGTGCCTCCTGTGTTTCCGCACTTGCCTCACCTCCCTGCCCCACTCCTCCCTGCAGCCGGTGGCAGGCCGCCTCTATTACCCAGCAGAGAGGCCCAGCGGCGGCGCCGCCAGCTGGCTGCCGTGGCGGTGGCGGGGCGTGCCGTGGCTGTGGCATCGCAACTACGCTCGGGGCCTGGGCAAGTTCCTGTTCTTCAGGCTCAACGGCTGGATGTACGATGTGCTGGAGCAGGCAGGCGGCAGCTCCCGGGGGGGGCAGGCCAGGGTCTCCTCACGCCTCTGGACGCGCATACCATCCGCCCAACAAGCTGCCTGCCGCATCCTACTTCCGCCACCAGCACTCAATGCCCGGGCATTGCCACGCCACACCTCCTGCTTCCTCTTCCTGCCTGCAGGGCCTCATCGCCTTTGCGTGGGCGGCGGGCAAGAGCCAGCGGCTGGACCTGAGCCCCGGCGCCCCGCTGGCTCCAGACGCACCCAGCCAGCTGCCGCTCATCATCTTCTCGCACGGCCTGGGCGGCAACCGCTTCCTGTGAGTGGCAGCAGGCAGCAAGGCGGGGAGAGGGCGGCGCCCGGCTCCTGCTGCCTGCTTCTTACCGGCCAGCGTGCCAGCAGGGGAGGCGCCCTGTTTGCCAGGTTGGGAGCGGGAGAGCGAAGCATGCTGCGTGAATGTGTGTTGCGCCCATGCCCCGCCGCTGCTGTGGTGCAGCTACACGATCATCTGCTCCGAGCTGGCCTCCCAGGGCTATGGTGGGCAGCGCTGGCTGCAGACCCTGCCGGCGTGGAGGCGCCAGCGGCGCCGGCCCTGCCCTGCCCCTCCCCGGCCAATCTCATTGCTTTCCGCCGCGTCCCAAAGCTCCCCTCCTTTGCCCTGCACGTTGCCATGTCACCTCACCCTGCCGCCCTGGCATCCCCGTCGCTCTCCTGTGTCCCTCTGCCCGTCCCTCCCGATCCCCGCCCCCTACCCCCACCTGCAGTGGTGCTGGCCGTGGAGCACGCCGACGGCACCGCCTGCGTCGCGCGGCTGCCGGGCGGCGCCTGGAAGTTTTATGCCGGGCTGGGGGATGAGGCTGCGCAGGTGGCCAAGACGCGGGTGAGGGTGGCGGAGATGAGGGGCGCGCTGCAGATGATGAGGGCGCTGCACAGAGGTGCGCTGTTGTTCGGTGTGGTGTGCTGTGGGGCGCATGTGCATGCGTGTGCGTCTGTGCGCGTGCGCGCGCGCGCGCGTGTGTGTGTGTGTGTCAGAGAGAGAGAGAGAGAGAGAGAGAGAGAGAGAGAGTGTGGTGGGGCCTGCTCTGCGCACGATGATACCCGCATGCGCACACACGGCGCTGCCACCTGCTGTCATCTCCCTCCCTCCCGACCTCTCTCCCTCCCAACCTCCCACCACAAGGCCGCCTGCGCCCCGTCCCTTGCCCCACAGGCGACCGGCTGGCGGGGCTGGAGCTGGCGTACGGGCTGGATGCTTCGGCCTTCCTGCGGGGCCGCCTGGACATGCGCTGCGTGGCGGCGGCAGGCCACAGGTGGGCTCAATTGAGGGCGGCGAGCCTGTGTGTCTGCTGTCGTGTGGGCAAGGGCGTGCTTGCCTCTTTGTTACCAGCCTGCTGCCCAGGGCCCCAGAAGCAGCACCTGCCGCCAGCACCGACACCCCCACCACGGCCATGCCCCCGCATGCCGTGCGCCTGCGCCTCCCGCAGCTACGGCGGCGCCACTATCACCGCGCTGGTTGCCGAGGACCCTCTGTACCAGTGTGGGGTGGCTCTGGACCCCTGGTGGTGAGCGCAGGCTGCGCCTGGCGGGTGCTGCGCAGGCTGCTGCGGGGTTGTGATGCACAGCCTCGCCGTCTCCCGCCTGCCGCTCCTGTCGCGCGCCGCCTTCCCTGCTGCTGCTGCTGCTGCTGCTGCTGCTGCTGCTGCTGCTGCTGCTGCTGGCATGCACCTGCGGCTGCTTCGGCTCCCAGCCCATTCACCATTTCCTGCATCGCCCCGCCCCACCGCCCACGCTTGCAGGTATGCCGTGTTCCCAGAGTCAAAGGCGCTCACCCGCTTTGCCACCCGCACCCCGCTGCTCGTCATGGGCTCACATGACTGGAATGTGCCCAACGCCTTTGGCCAGGTGGGGCTGTGCTTGCTGGGGGTGTCCATTGGAGAGGGGTGGTTGGATTGATACCGGTGGCCGGCTGGCGACTCGAGGCGAGGGTGGCGTGTGGCGGCGGAGGGGTGGACGATGGGGAGCGTGCGGTTGAGCCTCTGTGCCGTCTGTGCCGACTGCACCGGGGCCGGCGTTAGGATCCATGTTTGCACTATGAGCCGGACCGTCCCAACCCTCCCAACACAGCTGTCGTGCGGCGGCGAGCGGCAGGAGAGGGTGCTGGCGGCGGCCGCCGCGCGGCGGGAGGCCGACGGCAGGGCGGGCGGCGGCGGCGCCATGCTGCTGTCGATAGCCGGCAGCTCGCACAACACCTTTGCAGGCGGGGCTGCTGCTGCTGCTGCTGCTGCTGCGCGTGTTGTGTGTGTGTGTGTGCGTGTGTGTGTGTGTGTGTTGCCGGGGCTGCAGACGGTCGGTTGGGCATGTAAGCCAGCAAGCCGTGCAGCAGCCGTGTCCACTCCACACCGTCACCTTACCCTGCCCTGCGCTCTGCTGCGCGCCCTCCGGTGCGCAGACGCCCTCCCGCTGTTTGGGCAGCAGACGGGGTGGCTGCTGGAGCGCCTGGGGCTGACCGCCAGGCTGGACCCTGTGCTGGGTATC